GGCCCCCATCATTAAAGAATGAGATTTTATGACAGTCTGAATTTTTAAAAGAATAAGAAGATTTGTATGGAAAAAGTTGTTGGAGAGCAAGGTCTTGCTTTCCAGCAACATTTTCCATACAAATCTTCTAAATTTTCCGAAAAATCAAACGGTCGTATAAACTTAGTCTTTAATGCCAGGGGCCTCAAACTTGGCCATTTTGGTATTTTTGATGCACTCTTTCCATTTCTGGCATTCTTCAAGTTATAACCCATAATACAGAAATTTTCTAGGAAAAAATTGGTCACATGACCCGAGCTGCAAAGGGCCTATCCTTTGGAGTTTTGGAAAAAAAATCATATTTCTACAGTCTGTTGTCTTCATCTTCAGTTGCAAGATAAGTTGTGACAAGAGAGAAAAATATATTGCAACAAGACAGAAAAGAAGTGAACATGCTTCAACACAGCTTTCTTAATAGCTATTCTGGTATATTGTGTCATAAATGTCTTGTGTCACTGATTGTTAAAAATCTTTCTTCTTTGAACAATGGTTTTCTTGGATAATAACAAATCAAACATGCACCAAGCACTGTCATTGAGAAAGAATTCGTAGGATCATGAACTTTCTTTTAACTTTATTTTCTGTGCTTGGTTTAGATGTTTGATGCAATCATGAATTTCAAGAAAGAGGAAACTGCTAAACTGCATGGAAAGTTGAATATTAAACTATCTGCAGAGGAGAAAGAACTTGAGGGTAAACCGCTGTTAAAGGTAACCATGAAGAAGTGGCTCCCAGCTGGAGACGCCCTGCTTCAGATGATCACCATCCATCTGCCTTCTCCAGTGAGGGCTCAGAAGTACCGCATGGAGATGCTTTACGAGGGACCTCATGATGACCCTGTTGCCCTTGGAATAAAAAACTGTGACCCCCAGGTGAGGGATAACATTCAGATATTGATTAAAGTGCCTATGGCCCCCAAACGTTTTTAAAGGGGGATTAAATCTTTGTATTGCATGGAGCAAAATGCCACAAAAAGTTTTGTTTTTTTGGTTAAAACTACGATTTTTTTATGAATTTATTAACTTTAAATTATTCAGGACACGACCGAGAGCAACAGAGACTGGGGCTAGTGACATCAAACAGGGATATTGGCACCAGTTTTGAACTGAAGAGTAAAGTAGTAGATATTGGAGAGTAGTAATGAATCTCCATGGTATGTCAATGAAATGTGAAAAGTGAACTGATCAACATGACACAAGTGTGGGACAAAGAAAAAGTCTGGGTCCCCGACAGGAATTGAACCCACAACCTCCTGAACACTGGGCGGGAGGTCAGGAGGTCATGGGTTGGACTCCTGTCAGGGACTCTGACTTTTTCTTTGTCCCATGCATGTGTCATGTTGATCAGTGCCTGTTTCACATTTCATTACCGAGCTTAAAATTCTCCATCTCTATTCACTTATGTCAATGAATTAATTTACCAAAAAAACTCTTGCATGTGTTGTGTGCCTATGTTTCTAGTTTGGAAAATGTTTTCTGTTTCAAAATTAGAGCGTGCAAACCATCACACCCTAGGATGTCACTGTAACAATCATTTCCAGTGTTATGTTGTTGCTGTGTTCAAGAAATAATGGAAATAAAAAACCGTTTGCACTTGACACATTCACTTTCAATCGTTGCGAGTGTTTTTGCTCTCTAATTTTCAACAAATTGATGAGCATTTTTTATTATGACTCGGTGCTGTTATAAACAAAGCTAAAATGTTTCATTGACCCCCGTCTTGTTCCATGCCTGAGTGCATCACAGAGTATGGCAGGCAAGTGAACCTCCTTGTTTTAATCCCAGGCAATCAGTTTGTATGATTTTACATGGCATCCATAGCAAAGAAAAAGCATAAATATTCAGTCTGCGTAATTAAAATATTTAAACATTGAGGAAGAGGTAATTTTGTATTCATTGCAAGAGAAAATGTGCATATAGCATATTTTGAGATTTCAGTGTTTATTTTTAATGCTATTTTCATTTTCTTTTATTTGTGTCCAAATCAGAAATTTCAGTGCAAAAACTTTCCGTTACAGGTCATTTCCCACGTTCGCAGGACACCAAATGGAAAACGTGTTAACCTATGAAATTTGAAATCCCAGTGAACTATGTTTAAATGTACTGGTTTCTTTTTGTTCAGAAAGGTAGATTATGCTTCATGGCTTTGTTGTGACACATCAAATCTTATTTTGTCTTTTATAGGGTCCACTTTGTCTTTATGTCTCCAAGATGGTTCCAACTGTAGACAAAGGTCGCTTCTATGCCTTTGGGCGTGTCTTTTCAGGAATAGTTTCAACAGGACAGAAAGTACGCATCATGGGCCCAAATTATGTACCTGGAAAGAAAGAAGATTTGTATCAAAAGAGCATCCAAAGGTTAGTAATGGAATGCTAACAGAGTTTCCAAACAACAGCATTTATTGGTTCCAACCACTGTTGCAGTTACATGAATCATGAAACATAGTACATTGTTGTATAAACATGAGTGTTTTACTTGAGAATACACCAACATTAAAAATTCATATGAAACCACATCTGGAACTTAGGTGAAGTGTTTTTCATATTCTCACTAGTGAAGATATAGATGACTTCACTGATATCATTGTAATTCTAATGAGCAGCGAGTATCAAGAGTTGAGTCATGTTTCAAGTAAATCAAGACTGGATGTTTGAATTGGGATACTTGTGAGAATCAAAAATCAAGAGTCAGCTTATATTTGCCTGGTACTGAAAGATCAAAATAAATTTTAAACTGATCATGACTGTCCCATAATAACAGTGATCAGCATTGGCTTGAGTGGAACTTAGTCTAAATTACTGTTAGACACAAGTAAAACAAAGATTATACAATCAGTATTCACAGTACATCTTGCTAACCGAGTTTGCGGGCTGTTCTGTGAGTTTCTACTTGCACAGAATGGCTTCAAATTTCTGATGCACCTCGAAAGCAAAACAATTCAATTTAAAATCATTGTTACTACCATTTTTGAGCTACTGTGAACAGCGAACTTTTTTCTGCGTTGTTCTGCGCTTAAAACATTCAAGTTTGTCTAGACAAATTGTCACTTTTTTTAATTGAATCAATTAATGTATAGAGCATGAACATGTCAAGTTTTGACAGCTCCACCTGAATGTTTCTGCACGTGAAACACAGGTTTTGAAAACGTTGCGTTGAGTTTTTTTGTAACTAAAGTGCAGCTTCCTGAAATAAATAAGAATAAAAATTTCGAAATTTCCAAAGGATATTAAATCTGCGAACCGACGAAATCAGCTCGTGGAATTTGAGAATCGTCACGGTTGTACAGGACCAATTTTTATAGACTAACAGTTTGCGTGACATCTTGAGCTGGAGAATTCTTATGTAATGGCAGGTGTTATGTCATGTGTTCCGGCACCCAAGTGAGGTAAGGTGAAAACTATGCAAGGCTTTTTTTTTATTTTTTGTTCAAACAGAAACAAAGTTAAATCCCAGAAACAATTACCCATATAATTCACAACATTGAAAACACCAAAATAAAAGTTGAGAGGAGAGTACAATTTCTGCTCTCAGATGCGCTGTCTAGCTGTGTCCGATCCTGTCTGCTCGATTCGACATCGCTTCTCCATAAAATGCTGTTCATATCTATTATTTGCTAATACGTAAGCTGAAATAGAAAATTAAAAGATCAATTTCAGTATTTGTAAACAAGAAGAAGGAAACTGCAGCTCGTTGCTTCATGTCAAGCTGCTGCGATGGTTTGGCGGTTACCTTTTGTGGTTTTATCTCGCATCTGATTGGTCGCAAAACAACAAAGCTTCCAGAAATTTCCTCTGGTGTTCACGGTTTTATGGGAAAGACTGTAAAAAAATCGGAGTGACCCTTTCTGTCCAGTAATATGAATACATAAGTTTGACTTGCACAACCGACATGGTTTGCGTTACAGCTAGCAAACGTACTTGAGAATGTTACATGTACAAAAAACTCGACATAACGATTTCAAAACCTGTGTTTCGTGTGCAGAAACATTCAGGCAGAGTTTTCAAAACTTGGCATGTTCACGCTCTAAACGTTAATTGGTTCACTTAAAAAACGCGACAGTTTGTCTAGACAAACTTGAATGTTTTAAACATGGAACAACGCGGAAAAAAGTTGGTCGTTCACGGTACACTGTAGCTCGAAAATGGTAGTAAGCGACTCTTACGTCGTTAGCAGGTCTTAATATACAATTTCAGAAGTAAAAGAAAGTTTTAAACTTTTACTTGCCAAAAAAAGTGAAGAAAACTTGGCAATAAATCACAAAGCATTTTGGCAACAATAACGGCTTTAAATTTTAGCGGGCCATACAGTAGAATACGGCCCGCGAAATTGACCAATCGCAGTGCGCATACTAACTAAGAGATATGGTAAGAACGTTTAAATCTACTATTTAATTCTACCAGTCCACATAGAATCATTTGTGTGATGTACCATACCAACCAATTCTGTTTTGTATTATATGTATATATGTATTATTTTCTTAATGTTTATTTTGTTTTTCTAGGACTATTTTGATGATGGGCCGTTACATTGAAGCCATTGAGAATGTTCCTTGTGGCAACATCGTGGGGCTTGTGGGAGTGGATAACTTTTTGGTCAAGACTGGTACCATTACAACCTATGATAATGCCCACAATTTAAAGGTCAGTACAAACGTAGTGTCGACTAAGCGACAGTCTAAACCCATTTAATCAGCCACCCTTGGGGAAATAGGAGGTGGCTGTTCAATAGGGGTTAGTTGGGAATTAGCAATGAGGCTTATAGAAATGTTAACTTATTCAGATTCAAAGCCAAATTGCATGTATTAAATTTTGGGTGACCTTTTAGTAGTAGCCTGCAAACATTTAATAGGGGTAAGGACGATAGAAAACCCTCACCAAGAAAATATTTTTTGTGAAAGTTCAGTAACAGAATCATTATTTTCAGTCAAAAAAGCTTTGTTTATTGCCTTTTTATAATTTGTCCTCAAACAAACATAAGCATTTTTTTTTTTATGAAAAGAGTAATTCCACATCACGCAAAGGTTAGCTAATGCCAATCATCATTCACTGGTAAAATCACAGGTTTACTCGTAGAGCACTTTGTTTGACTCCATTTTTTTGTTGTTGATTTTGAAGATGATGAAGTTCTCAGTATCACCTGTTGTTCGTGTAGCTGTCGAGGCAAAGAACCCATCTGATTTGCCTAAGTTGGTGGAAGGTCTTAAGCGACTTGCAAAGTCTGATCCAATGGTGCAGTGTTCAACTGAAGAGAGTGGGGAACACATTGTGGCAGGAGCTGGAGAACTACATTTGGAAATCTGTCTGAAGGATTTAGAGGAAGACCATGCCTGCATTCCTCTCAAGGTAAAGTGAACCCCAGTCTTAACTGAATCAAAATAAAAAAAAGAATGTATTCTAATAGAGATCTATCTTGGAAGGAATAGTATTGTTTTACTGAATGTAGTTGTTTTCTTAGGTCTACTATCTGAGTGATTTCGCAAAAACATGCCTGGCTAGGTTCAGGCAGAGCCTGAATGCGAGCCAAGCTAGTCGCTCTCCTTCAAGGCCAGGCTGGGGACATGGCCCAGGCACTGGCCGATCTGTTGATGGTTTGCTTGCGGCCGGCCGTCAAGAGTAGGGGCTAGGGGAGGTTGTCTATTACTGACACCTTCACTTGGCTAGACTTGAGTTTTCAGTGCCAAATAACCTTGATATTGACTGTGTGGCTGGGTACTTTGCTCAGTTGTTGAACATTGTTTGAGGGTTCTGTGTTGGCATGGAACCTTGCTAGAAGGGGCCCATGCAACGTGCGTGCATTACTGGCCAATCTCCAAGCAAGAGGAGTGGTCAAGGCATTTGTTTTTGAACTCTTTGGGGGCATGTTTTGGCAAATGCAGTCAGACTATAAATGTTCTTGTGGCCCTTTTCACAATTAACTTCTCTCATTTGCCTTACAATATAGCCTAGCATGTGTGTGAGGCAATTTCAGGCCATTTTGTAGTTTCGGTCTGAAATTGCATCCACATTGGATTACGTTGTAATGCTAATGAGGAAACCTAAGCATGAAAAGGGATATTAAATGGATCAATATGCAGCTCATCCAATTACAGCACAAATAAAATGTAAAATGTATGGCAATATCTGACAATTTGTGTTGTAGATGTTGACAATTTGTTGATGTTGTCTAGCTTCTTCTTTATAAAACAAACCTTGCATAGTAAGTTTCTCATCAGGCACTCAAGTGTTTTTTGTCTCTGTACATTATAACTGTCACTTGTATTTTAACTTGCATGGGCTTGCCAAAGTCTGTACCACTTGTTTCAGTATAGTGATAGTACACACTAAATCAAGTAATAGCATAAGTAAATTAAGTATAACAAAACAAATTAGTTATTGTGTTAAACTGGTTTTACCTTTTGAATGATTTTGATCTCAACCAGAAAACCTTCGTTTTTTTTTAATCTACATGAGGAATACTGAGCTACTTGTGTTTTGTGTTAAACCCAGAAATCAGATCCAGTGGTATCCTACCGTGAGACAGTTACAGAGGAATCCAACCAAACGTGCCTTTCAAAGTCACCAAACAAGCATAACCGACTGTTTATGAAAGCAGCTCCTTTTCAGGAAGGTCTGGCTGAAGATATAGACAGTGGAGATGTAAGCCACAAACAGGATTTTAAAGAACGTGCCAGAGTTTTAACTTCCAAGTATGGGTGGGATGGAACAGAGGCCCGTAAGATTTGGTGCTTTGGGCCTGAGGCAACTGGTCCAAATATGGTGGTTGACTGCACAAAAGGAGTGCAATATCTGAATGAAATCAAGGATAGTGTTGTAGCAGGATTCCAGTGGGCGATGAAAGAAGCTCCTCTCTGTGAAGAACATGCACGTGGTGTGAGGTTCAACATCCACGATGTCACTCTTCATGCTGATGCTATTCACCGGGGTGGTGGGCAGATTATTCCAACTGCTCGTCGCTGTTTCTTAGCCTGCATGCTGACTGCCAAGCCAGCACTCCTGGAACCAGTTTATTTGTGTGAAATTCAGGTATAAAGAAGTACATATCAAACACGAAGGAGCGTGTTTGGCCACTTTTCCTAACTCTGAGAAGAGAGTTGAAAATAAGATGTGCAGCAGAGTATTTTTGAAGAACTTTGAGGTGTTTGGAAATATGGTCAAGCACTGTCCTGATTGTTTTATAAATCTTCTCAATTGAAACTAAAACTAACAAGAAATTGAGAAGTAAAATCGTAAAAATTTGTGCTAATTATTAAGATCAGATATCTAAACACCGTCATGGTGAGGATTTCCTTTATTTAAATGCTATGGATTATTAATGAGTTTCAGAAGTAAACATCTCACTGTGTTGTCTGAAAAGGAGACATTTTGTTTGAAGGGATGTGAAAATAACTGTGATACTTCGAAGAAGACTGTATCTTATTGAAGTGCGATAATGATGGTTTATCTTCTGAAATGGCCACATCAAAATATAATTTGCAACCCACTGTAAGTAAATACTCCTGGGAGCACAGTGCTGTCGGGGTAGGTGGTCAACAACTTTCAGGTGTCCACATCCGGGACGTTCCTGTTAGTGGAGGTTCCACCGAAGAGAAGCACTTTTTGAAGTACAGGCACTTGCGTATTGGGAGCACTTCTGTATAGGGGTGCCAATTAACCATATTTCGCCCTGGGTCTGTTTTTGTTGTTGTTGTTGTTTGTTTGTTTGTTTGTTTGTTTGTTTGTGGGGGCTCTCCACCTATGATCTCCAAACATTTTCACTCAGTATTAATCAAATTTATATGTTGTGTAAAGCATCCAAACTTGTTTACACCAGTGATAATCATGTGTCGATCATCTGGTCACATTTCGCCAAGATGACGCCACACAATTTACAATCTTAATTTTAAACATTTTTCACAAAGTCAGAACAATCCCAACATTGATTTAAAAAATCGGGAGAAACATACATGTAAGGTTACCACAAATGTAAAGAATTTTAGTTAGAATTCTAGGCAGTGTAATTTCTTTTAAGTGTAAATGACTTTCAAACATTTGGTTGGAACAAAATGCAAACAGCGGCCAATTGATGCCCACAGATGTATAAATCCAGGGGTAACTCCAGACATAGTATTCGACTTGGGGACCTTAATGTTAATTTCCATGTTCTTTTGCAGTGTCCTGAGACTGCTGTTGGAGGCATTTATGGAGTGTTGAACAGGAGACGAGGGCATGTTTTTGAGGAAGGCCCAATTGCTGGAACTCCCATGTTCATTGTTAAGGCCTATTTGCCTGTTAATGAGTCTTTTGGTGAGTGGTTTATCTTGCACCTCAGTCGAACAAAAAAATACAACGTCAAAGTTACACAAGGTGATGAAGAGTATTGTCCGTTGTAGCAATCTCATCCTCCAGATACCAAGCGTTGTCGGCCAGCAGTGACCGAACACTGATGCCGTGGGAAAAATCAAAAACCAGAACCAAAAGATCGTCACAGATCACCTCCAGGCCCAAGTCGTTCGAAGGCTGGATAACGCTATCCACAGGATAAATCACTATCCAGTAGATAAGTGTTCACAAAACAAACCACGCTATCAACGGGATAGTGATATAAACGGTGAATAGTGTTGTCCACCTTTCCAACAACCTGGGCCAGCACTTTATTGCAATTTATGTGCACTTGAAGGCGGATGCCCAAAAGTGAAATGTCTTACCCAAGAATATAATGCAATGACCCTTACATGTGGTAAACTGTGCACTGCTTTGATTTAACCCAGAGACGTCTGTGCCGGCCCTGACGAGCGTTGTCCCTTGTCCCACTTTTGACGTCATCAACTTTGACCGAGCTTGGCATCACTTAAAACTCAAGATCTGCAGGAGGAATAGATCTTTCCAATGAAACCCAGATCAGAGTGATTGGGTCAACTGAGCCTGAAAAATGCACGAAATGTTTAAAAACGAGTGAAAAACTCGGAGCAAAATTTCCCTCAACTACACGTGGCTACTCCCTGGTAAGAATTCGCTTTCTCAGGAATTCGTGAATTAGAAGCGAGCCCAGTAGATCAACAACTGCAGCAAAAAGATAAGAAAAGGAAAGGGGAAAAAAATGACAAAACCCGAAAAGCTTAAGACGCAGGTAACTTTCTCGTCCCAAATTTTGATTTGTGCTAGTGACCGAGCAAAAATCTCAAAAAGTGATGCTAGTGGAAGGAAAGGCATGCTTTTTTGTTGCCAATGACTTTTTTAGTAGATTAGAGCTAATTAAGCTTATATCCAGGCTAAAAATGTCCAAAATGTAAAATAATGCGTTTTCAGTTTGCCAAAAAGCTCCAGGAGTTAATGGTTCATTACTTCCATGTGTGTTTTTTTAATTAGGTTTCACTGCTGATCTTNGTTCTGCGCTTAAAACATTCAAGTTTGTCTAGACAAATTGTCACTTTTTTTAATTGAATCAATTAATGTATAGAGCATGAACATGTCAAGTTTTGACAGCTCCACCTGAATGTTTCTGCACGTGAAACACAGGTTTTGAAAACGTTGCGTTGAGTTTTTTTGTAACTAAAGTGCAGCTTCCTGAAATAAATAAGAATAAAAATTTCGAAATTTCCAAAGGATATTAAATCTGCGAACCGACGAAATCAGCTCGTGGAATTTGAGAATCGTCACGGTTGTACAGGACCAATTTTTATAGACTAACAGTTTGCGTGACATCTTGAGCTGGAGAATTCTTATGTAATGGCAGGTGTTATGTCATGTGTTCCGGCACCCAAGTGAGGTAAGGTGAAAACTATGCAAGGCTTTTTTTTTATTTTTTGTTCAAACAGAAACAAAGTTAAATCCCAGAAACAATTACCCATATAATTCACAACATTGAAAACACCAAAATAAAAGTTGAGAGGAGAGTACAATTTCTGCTCTCAGATGCGCTGTCTAGCTGTGTCCGATCCTGTCTGCTCGATTCGACATCGCTTCTCCATAAAATGCTGTTCATATCTATTATTTGCTAATACGTAAGCTGAAATAGAAAATTAAAAGATCAATTTCAGTATTTGTAAACAAGAAGAAGGAAACTGCAGCTCGTTGCTTCATGTCAAGCTGCTGCGATGGTTTGGCGGTTACCTTTTGTGGTTTTATCTCGCATCTGATTGGTCGCAAAACAACAAAGCTTCCAGAAATTTCCTCTGGTGTTCACGGTTTTATGGGAAAGACTGTAAAAAAATCGGAGTGACCCTTTCTGTCCAGTAATATGAATACATAAGTTTGACTTGCACAACCGACATGGTTTGCGTTACAGCTAGCAAACGTACTTGAGAATGTTACATGTACAAAAAACTCGACATAACGATTTCAAAACCTGTGTTTCGTGTGCAGAAACATTCAGGCAGAGTTTTCAAAACTTGGCATGTTCACGCTCTAAACGTTAATTGGTTCACTTAAAAAACGCGACAGTTTGTCTAGACAAACTTGAATGTTTTAAACATGGAACAACGCGGAAAAAAGTTGGTCGTTCACGGTACACTGTAGCTCGAAAATGGTAGTAAGCGACTCTTACGTCGTTAGCAGGTCTTAATATACAATTTCAGAAGTAAAAGAAAGTTTTAAACTTTTACTTGCCAAAAAAAGTGAAGAAAACTTGGCAATAAATCACAAAGCATTTTGGCAACAATAACGGCTTTAAATTTTAGCGGGCCATACAGTAGAATACGGCCCGCGAAATTGACCAATCGCAGTGCGCATACTAACTGAGAGATATGGTAAGAACGTTTAAATCTACCATTTAATTCTACCAGTCCACATAGAATCATTTGTGTGATGTACCATACCAACCAATTCTGTTTTGTATTATATGTATATATGTATTATTTTCTTAATGTTTATTTTGTTTTTCTAGGACTATTTTGATGATGGGCCGTTACATTGAAGCCATTGAGAATGTTCCTTGTGGCAACATCGTGGGGCTTGTGGGAGTGGATAACTTTTTGGTCAAGACTGGTACCATTACAACCTATGATAATGCCCACAATTTAAAGGTCAGTACAAACGTAGTGTCGACTAAGCGACAGTCTAAACCCATTTAATCAGCCACCCTTGGGGAAATAGGAGGTGGCTGTTCAATAGGGGTTAGTTGGGAATTAGCAATGAGGCTTATAGAAATGTTAACTTATTCAGATTCAAAGCCAAATTGCATGTATTAAATTTTGGGTGACCTTTTAGTAGTAGCCTGCAAACATTTAATAGGGGTAAGGACGATAGAAAACCCTCACCAAGAAAATATTTTTTGTGAAAGTTCAGTAACAGAATCATTATTTTCAGTCAAAAAAGCTTTGTTTATTGCCTTTTTATAATTTGTCCTCAAACAAACATAAGCATTTTTTTTTTTATGAAAAGAGTAATTCCACATCACGCAAAGGTTAGCTAATGCCAATCATCATTCACTGGTAAAATCACAGGTTTACTCGTAGAGCACTTTGTTTGACTCCATTTTTTTGTTGTTGATTTTGAAGATGATGAAGTTCTCAGTATCACCTGTTGTTCGTGTAGCTGTCGAGGCAAAGAACCCATCTGATTTGCCTAAGTTGGTGGAAGGTCTTAAGCGACTTGCAAAGTCTGATCCAATGGTGCAGTGTTCAACTGAAGAGAGTGGGGAACACATTGTGGCAGGAGCTGGAGAACTACATTTGGAAATCTGTCTGAAGGATTTAGAGGAAGACCATGCCTGCATTCCTCTCAAGGTAAAGTGAACCCCAGTCTTAACTGAATCAAAATAAAAAAAAGAATGTATTCTAATAGAGATCTATCTTGGAAGGAATAGTATTGTTTTACTGAATGTAGTTGTTTTCTTAGGTCTACTATCTGAGTGATTTCGCAAAAACATGCCTGGCTAGGTTCAGGCAGAGCCTGAATGCGAGCCAAGCTAGTCGCTCTCCTTCAAGGCCAGGCTGGGGACATGGCCCAGGCACTGGCCGATCTGTTGATGGTTTGCTTGCGGCCGGCCGTCAAGAGTAGGGGCTAGGGGAGGTTGTCTATTACTGACACCTTCACTTGGCTAGACTTGAGTTTTCAGTGCCAAATAACCTTGATATTGACTGTGTGGCTGGGTACTTTGCTCAGTTGTTGAACATTGTTTGAGGGTTCTGTGTTGGCATGGAACCTTGCTAGAAGGGGCCCATGCAACGTGCGTGCATTACTGGCCAATCTCCAAGCAAGAGGAGTGGTCAAGGCATTTGTTTTTGAACTCTTTGGGGGCATGTTTTGGCAAATGCAGTCAGACTATAAATGTTCTTGTGGCCCTTTTCACAATTAACTTCTCTCATTTGCCTTACAATATAGCCTAGCATGTGTGTGAGGCAATTTCAGGCCATTTTGTAGTTTCGGTCTGAAATTGCATCCACATTGGATTACGTTGTAATGCTAATGAGGAAACCTAAGCATGAAAAGGGATATTAAATGGATCAATATGCAGCTCATCCAATTACAGCACAAATAAAATGTAAAATGTATGGCAATATCTGACAATTTGTGTTGTAGATGTTGACAATTTGTTGATGTTGTCTAGCTTCTTCTTTATAAAACAAACCTTGCATAGTAAGTTTCTCATCAGGCACTCAAGTGTTTTTTGTCTCTGTACATTATAACTGTCACTTGTATTTTAACTTGCATGGGCTTGCCAAAGTCTGTACCACTTGTTTCAGTATAGTGATAGTACACACTAAATCAAGTAATAGCATAAGTAAATTAAGTATAACAAAACAAATTAGTTATTGTGTTAAACTGGTTTTACCTTTTGAATGATTTTGATCTCAACCAGAAAACCTTCGTTTTTTTTTAATCTACATGAGGAATACTGAGCTACTTGTGTTTTGTGTTAAACCCAGAAATCAGATCCAGTGGTATCCTACCGTGAGACAGTTACAGAGGAATCCAACCAAACGTGCCTTTCAAAGTCACCAAACAAGCATAACCGACTGTTTATGAAAGCAGCTCCTTTTCAGGAAGGTCTGGCTGAAGATATAGACAGTGGAGATGTAAGCCACAAACAGGATTTTAAAGAACGTGCCAGAGTTTTAACTTCCAAGTATGGGTGGGATGGAACAGAGGCCCGTAAGATTTGGTGCTTTGGGCCTGAGGCAACTGGTCCAAATATGGTGGTTGACTGCACAAAAGGAGTGCAATATCTGAATGAAATCAAGGATAGTGTTGTAGCAGGATTCCAGTGGGCGATGAAAGAAGCTCCTCTCTGTGAAGAACATGCACGTGGTGTGAGGTTCAACATCCACGATGTCACTCTTCATGCTGATGCTATTCACCGGGGTGGTGGGCAGATTATTCCAACTGCTCGTCGCTGTTTCTTAGCCTGCATGCTGACTGCCAAGCCAGCACTCCTGGAACCAGTTTATTTGTGTGAAATTCAGGTATAAAGAAGTACATATCAAACACGAAGGAGCGTGTTTGGCCACTTTTCCTAACTCTGAGAAGAGAGTTGAAAATAAGATGTGCAGCAGAGTATTTTTGAAGAACTTTGAGGTGTTTGGAAATATGGTCAAGCACTGTCCTGATTGTTTTATAAATCTTCTCAATTGAAACTAAAACTAACAAGAAATTGAGAAGTAAAATCGTAAAAATTTGTGCTAATTATTAAGATCAGATATCTAAACACCGTCATGGTGAGGATTTCCTTTATTTAAATGCTATGGATTATTAATGAGTTTCAGAAGTAAACATCTCACTGTGTTGTCTGAAAAGGAGACATTTTGTTTGAAGGGATGTGAAAATAACTGTGATACTTCGAAGAAGACTGTATCTTATTGAAGTGCGATAATGATGGTTTATCTTCTGAAATGGCCACATCAAAATATAATTTGCAACCCACTGTAAGTAAATACTCCTGGGAGCACAGTGCTGTCGGGGTAGGTGGTCAACAACTTTCAGGTGTCCACATCCGGGACGTTCCTGTTAGTGGAGGTTCCACCGAAGAGAAGCACTTTTTGAAGTACAGGCACTTGCGTATTGGGAGCACTTCTGTATAGGGGTGCCAATTAACCATATTTCGCCCTGGGTCTGTTTTTGTTGTTGTTGTTTGTTTGTTTGTTTGTTTGTTTGTTTGTTTGTTTGTTTGTGGGGGCTCTCCACCTATGATCTCCAAACATTTTCACTCAGTATTAATCAAATTTATATGTTGTGTAAAGCATCCAAACTTGTTTACACCAGTGATAATCATGTGTCGATCATCTGGTCACATTTCGCCAAGATGACGCCACACAATTTACAATCTTAATTTTAAACATTTTTCACAAAGTCAGAACAATCCCAACATTGATTTAAAAAATCGGGAGAAACATACATGTAAGGTTACCACAAATGTAAAGAATTTTAGTTAGAATTCTAGGCAGTGTAATTTCTTTTAAGTGTAAATGACTTTCAAACATTTGGTTGGAACAAAATGCAAACAGCGGCCAATTGATGCCCACAGATGTATAAATCCAGGGGTAACTCCAGACATAGTATTCGACTTGGGGACCTTAATGTTAATTTCCATGTTCTTTTGCAGTGTCCTGAGACTGCTGTTGGAGGCATTTATGGAGTGTTGAACAGGAGACGAGGGCATGTTTTTGAGGAAGGCCCAATTGCTGGAACTCCCATGTTCATTGTTAAGGCCTATTTGCCTGTTAATGAGTCTTTTGGTGAGTGGTTTATCTTGCACCTCAGTCGAACAAAAAAATACAACGTCAAAGTTACACAAGGTGATGAAGAGTATTGTCCGTTGTAGCAATCTCATCCTCCAGATACCAAGCGTTGTCGGCCAGCAGTGACCGAACACTGATGCCGTGGGAAAAATCAAAAACCAGAACCAAAAGATCGTCACAGATCACCTCCAGGCCCAAGTCGTTCGAAGGCTGGATAACGCTATCCACAGGATAAATCACTATCCAGTAGATAAGTGTTCACAAAACAAACCACGCTATCAACGGGATAGTGATATAAACGGTGAATAGTGTTGTCCACCTTTCCAACAACCTGGGCCAGCACTTTATTGCAATTTATGTGCACTTGAAGGCGGATGCCCAAAAGTGAAATGTCTTACCCAAGAATATAATGCAATGACCCTTACATGTGGTAAACTGTGCACTGCTTTGATTTAACCCAGAGACGTCTGTGCCGGCCCTGACGAGCGTTGTCCCTTGTCCCACTTTTGACGTCATCAACTTTGACCGAGCTTGGCATCACTTAAAACTCAAGATCTGCAGGAGGAATAGATCTTTCCAATGAAACCCAGATCAGAGTGATTGGGTCAACTGAGCCTGAAAAATGCACGAAATGTTTAAAAACGAGTGAAAAACTCGGAGCAAAATTTCCCTCAACTACACGTGGCTACTCCCTGGTAAGAATTCGCTTTCTCAGGAATTCGTGAATTAGAAGCGAGCCCAGTAGATCAACAACTGCAGCAAAAAGATAAGAAAAGGAAAGGGGAAAAAAATGACAAAACCCGAAAAGCTTAAGACGCCGGTAACTTTCTCGTCCCAAATTTTGATTTGTGCTAGTGACCGAGCAAAAATCTCAAAAAGTGATGCTAGTGGAAGGAAAGGCATGCTTTTTTGTTGCCAATGACTTTTTTAGTAGATTAGAGCTAATTAAGCTTATATCCAGGCTAAAAATGTCCAAAATGTAAAATAATGCGTTTTCAGTTTGCCAAAAAGCTCCAGGAGTTAATGGTTCATTACTTCCATGTGTGTTTTTTTAATTAGGTTTCACTGCTGATCTTCGCTCCAACACTGGTGGCCAGGCCTTCCCGCAATGTGTGTTTGACCACTGGGAGCTAATGCGAGATGATGCTACAGAGCCCACGACAAGGTCTGGAAAAATAGTGGCTGAAACAAGGAAGAGGAAAGGTCTGTCAGAAGATATACCACCTTTGGATAGGTTCCTGGATAAACTATGAAGTGGGTTTTATACTCCTCGAAGTAAACACCAGTTGAATTAGCGACTGAGGACGTTGCCAACATTATCTTAACCAACTAAGAAACTAAGCGAATAATAAAGAAGTTCAGTTATCGTAGTTTATGTATGTCATCTACTTTGCAGTGACGGGCATCGTGACAGATGTTTCTGGAATTTTAAAGGCTGTTTGCTACAGCCACAGAAATCAATAAAATGCTATGTAGCTTTGCTGTGGGACTCTGGTTTTAGTTTCTTCTCTGAGTATATTACGTAAACTCTGATTGGGATAATCCTTTTTTGTGCTCTTGGACCACCTTGGGTTGGTGTAAACCGACTCGTCTTCCCCTGGTCTCTCAAGAACTTTCGGTAACTTTTCGTTATCTCGGGTTTGCCCTCACTGGATCTGCTAAAAATTTCTCCGAAATCGTTAAGAACCCCCTAGTCTGGTTCACGCTCATTAAGGGCCCCGTCCACACTAGGCCGTAGAAATTGGAAAACGGAGTTGTCACACTGAAAACCCATCAAATGTTTTCCGTTCACACTACGCCGGAGAAATATGAAAACGCGACAATCACCAGTCATTTTGGATTTGTGGTTGAGGAAGGTATCTAGACACCTCCCCACCAGGGACCAATCGCCAACAAGGAGATGAAATAGAGTAAAGTAGTGGAGAATTCTCTATTTTCCAATTACCCATAATTCATTCTTTTTGCCCCACAAATTTTGCATCGACTCTACTCAAATCCGCTTCCACTGCCATGTTGGACTCTCCTTTCGTTCCCTTTCCTACACCTACATGCGAACTCGCGGGAAGTTGCACGGGAGCAGTAAGCATGCGCGAGCTACGAGCGACGGCAGTTCGAGAATTGTTTGTTTTGTTTGGTTTTGTTTCTTTGTTTTTCGTTTGTTGTGTTGGTTTCTTTTGTTTCAAAAACGTGATATGCTACCCAAGTTACTAATGCAGCCCTTCCTTTTATATAGCCTGCGTAGCTGGTGGTTTAGTGGGTTTGGAGTATAGGAACGTACAGAGTGTGACTCGTCGCATGCTCTCGCGCTCTACAGCAGCTAAACCGCTGGCTAAACCGCAAGCTACGCAGGCTACCTTTCCTAACGCGATTTAAGGCTCCGTTAGACTTCACACCTGTCTGAAGAGAGTCGCCTACAAACAACGAAAAAGATGAAACTCGGGTGGATTTTAATTGGTCTTACAGAAGGTCAAGTTTAATTCAAGATTTTTCTCCAGTCTTTATATGGTAATAGTTTTATACCTCATATTATCTTAAACGATGGGGAATAGGGTAAAATAATCTTTATTTCTTTGTTAACGCGTCTCGCAGCTACTCGGAAATATTTCCATTTCATTCCAGTTTAGCCCAGTATCCTCCATTTTGCCAGGTTCCAGCGAATCTAACCTCGCTCACACAGCCGCCCACACTCTGGGAACGAATCATCAAGCTTGGCGCGCTCTGTGATGCTCGTGACATCATTGTAACTTACAAGTGAATCAATCCGATTGTAAATCCTTTTTTCCTTGTATATAATTCCTAAACTCAGTAAATAAACAAAGAGATGATCCTCTTACCCTGTTTTATCAGTGTTTTTTTTCACCTTAACCCTTCAGGGAAGTAAAATTGTTGATCATCTGTTTCCTCGCGCTAACATGCCAGCAATTTATAAAACTGAATCTGATTGGTTTAAAACAGCGCGCGCGTTTACTCTCCCTTGTTACGTCACAAAGTAAAACAGTTCGTTCAGAAAGAGACAAGCACCTGGTTGGCCGTGTCTTTTTAAACACTTAAATTTTTATTAAATAAAACAACGACTTGAACAGTTAAAATGGGTCTAACTTGGAGCTCGTATAAGTTGAAGAGAAAAGAGAAAAAAGATTATAAAAGGTAAGTGAACATAGGTGCCGTTTAACTGCTGACAGCGCATTTAACATCTGTAAAAAAGAAACATCCAGAGTTTGAAAATTAAGTAAGCGAATCGTTAATAACTAGATTTCATGCGTGATTATCACTTCAACTTTTTACGCGAAAACAGGTTTCATTCTGCGTTTTGTTGTTTCCTTTTTTGCAGACGCATACAACTATAATATCACTAAGACATTTTTTTAAAGATCTCTACCCTTAATAGACTAACTCTTTTTGTCCAACAGAAAGTTAAGAAACCAGTTAAAAGAAGCAGAGGAGTGTGTTACTCGTCTCCAGGAACAGCTGCAGCTTGAAAATGGGTGAGTTTTCCAAGTGTGTCTACCATATGGGCTCGGCTACAACACCACAATTTTAACCTTAATAGAGGGCGTTTTTAATTTGTTTTTACCTTTTCCTTTTATGTTTCCATTACGAGAATAAATAGTTTCTTAGCTAAGAAAGCATAAGTACTAGCGCCTAGTCCCCTCCAATGATTGGACTCCGCCGATGCTTGGACGCGCTGCACCACAATGAAAAGAGGAATAAAGGGAAAGCTCTTAACTGTATTTTAGCTTTTAATGGATTTAGACAGTGGTCACCTTAACTCAGATCAATAATTTTGCTGACATCTGAGAACGTGATATCCTTTGTCTGAAATATAGACGTCTGAAATGGAAGTAATAATTCCTTCTCTTAGACGTGTGAATATCAGTTGTATTCAAGGTAACTTAATGGAGGTTCTCTCTCTTTTCTCGTTTCTGTAGGTTACTCGATCAGTTCCAAAGCTGCCAACCCTCTGACTCAATGCCTGATACTGCTATAGCCAATGCAGATTGCATAGTGGCTGAAATGGAGCAGGAGGTTCAAGCATTGGAGCGAAAGCTTTTCCTTGAGGAAATTGCAGTCACGGTTAATGTTACAAACGAGCGGTGCGATTTTCTAGACAGGAACTTCAGGTAAAAGACTGTATTTCTCTTAGTGTTAGTGGTTCCAAGAAAGTGATGGTTTATATTCTGGGTCACGCTATATTCTCTATCCCTACTCTTTGATCTATTAATGCATTAAACGACTGAGGCGGTGAAGAGACGAAAGGGTGCTAGAAGAATGGCGACCACGCAGCCAGGTCGTTAACCCTATTCCCCAACAAGAAACCTGTTCAGTCACGAGCTCCACGTGACCAGACTGCAAGCTACCTATAAATATGTTAACCTAATCCTTGTTTTTATGTCTTTGGTCTTTACAGACTTCTTCACAACAACGAGACAAGCCTTCATAGGCAAAGTTCAGTCTGTGAAACAGACCTGGCAACGTTAAAACTAAAACAGGAAGCTTGTCAGTTTGGTCATTTTCTACAAGCAAATCCAGTGGAAGAATGGACTGTCTGCTCTCTTCCTAATCTTTACTGCAGAGACTTGTGAACGGCAAGTCTTGTGAACTTGGTTGTCAAACAAATGATATCAGTTCCCTGTGCAGATTTTAAAAGATTTCAGGAGAAAGCTAGATTTATCAATATTTTACTGCAGAAGAATTTGATGTAAATATGTAATGAAATTTTGTATTATAATTAAATATGAACAATAAAACGAATCGTGCATCGTTTTCTTGTGTGTCTGAAGGTTAAGCATATCGCTCAGGCTTTTGCCTCCGATGTATTGGAGAGACTAAAGATATAGAATACCAACACCATGCTGGTCGTTTCTGTTCCATCTGTTTCCAGAAAGGTTGTCCAATGGTATTACCGAAGCGTAAAAACTTACGCGACAGTATCGAATTAAGTGTATTATGAGTAGCTATAGTTCACTGTTGCTCGATCATAGCTTTTGAACAAAGCTGACCGTTCACATATCACCGTAAATCCCGATGTACATTTGCCTTTCATTACACTTAGGTATCGTGAACTTGGATCAAGCTAGAACAGAGAACTACCATCCGCCATAATACCTGTTTTAAGGGGAGAGTAAGCTATAACTCGTTTTGAGAAAACGAGCTTTGAACTTACAGTACAGAAATTCTCAAAATAAAACTGGCATTCCCCAGTAGGTGGCAGATTTAATCAGCCGGTGTCAGTTTACAATACAGTTCTAGGGTCCGAAGATATTTTTTTCATAATCTTTGGTCTTTTAGCTTTCCAAAAATGTATACTTTGCCATCTTACCACAAGAAAAGTTTGAAAAAAATGGTGTGTTTTTAGGTTAATTAACCTCCACCTCAAATGACCTTGCTCTCCATGCCAGGAGTTCTCGTAGCTCAGTGGATAGAGCGCCCGCCTGGTGTTCGGTAAGAAAGGCTGTCCGTCCCTGATGGGAACAGTTTCGCCATGTAATAGCCTGTGTACTGCCGCCCCTCCCCTCATAAAAATATCCCCGATCTTTTTTTTGAGGGGGGGGGGGGTAGGGGAGGGTGAGGGGGTACATGTTTTGAGTTCGGCTGACAATATTTTTAGCGCTAGACCTATTTCTATTTATTTAAATATATATATTGATTTATTGATCGATCGATTAATTGATTCATTCATTCATACCTGTCCTGAATTAGTCTAGTGCTGGCCCTCTCTCTAATCACCGTGAGCGTGGTTTTCGTGAGAGAGCGCTTCTGCGCCACGCCCCACGGCTTCACTCCAGTTGGTCAGCGACTGGCCTAATTCGTACCCAGCGCCTCTCCAAGCTCCGGTCCTCATGTTCAGTGTGAGTCGCAAAAACGTTCCGTAGACTGTTCCGGCAAAGCTCGAATAGAAAACGGCTCTTTACGAGGATTGAAACAAGAAGGTAAGAACTAGTTACTTAGTGTAAGCAGCTGACTTCCAATCAAAGCGATCTTGTCAAGAAACGAAACACAAACCGCGGTGATAAACATGAAACCAAAACGCATGTTAAACAAAGTTAATTTCCTTGACGTTTCGTATGTGTATGTTGTACATACGAAACGTCAAGGAAATAAACTTTGTTTAACATGCGTTTTGGTTCCATGTTTATCACCGCGGTTTGTGTTTTGTTTCTTCTAAAGCTACGATGGCCAAGGAAAAAGAGTGTTTACGATCTTGTCAATTTTAGTCCCGAAGCTTTCAATACAGTTACACTTCAGTTACACTTCCGGTTTGAGCTTTTAATGGAAGTGAACGGGTAGAGTCTTCTATTCATTATTAGAATTCTTGCATTATCTGAAACCCTCTGGAATGAACGGAGCAACTTCAGAATACCCGGCCACTTTATTTACATGTGCCGGTGTGCTTTGAAGAACGAGGTATCTAGCAATAGTTGCTATTCTTATTCAATGAGATGCTAATAATAATGTATACGAAAATTAGTATGGGTTGAGAATCAAAACTGATTCAATTTTGCATAAATGAGGCCCTGTCAGTGTAAATTCTAATACAAGAAGCTCTAGCAGGCTTAAAACCGGGACGTTTATAGTTATTAATTTTGTTCTTAATACAAAAACTAAGTTAAATTGATTTTTGAACCAAAAATAGACTCCCAATATTAAAAAATATTATATTTCCTACGTTCCATGCATTACACTTCTAACATGATATGTGTCAGTTATTCAGGCTTAAGAAGATCATGTGCAAACATGCAAAATAAATTTCTATTGTTCAGACAACCTCAGAGAAATAATCAAATACAGGTTTTCCACTTTTTTGTTGTATTAGCCCTTTCTTACTGTCCAGATGTATTTTGTTTTGTGATTTACAGGGCAATGCCCCTTTTACTGTATTTTTTTTTCCTCTGGGCATACATCTCTTTACATTCTGTGGAATAGAAATTTGCTGGATGAATGTTTCCAGCCTCCCGAAATCTTTCTAGCAATTAGCCCTGATTTTCACTCATGGTAAACTTGGGCCACATGGGGAGGTCTCAGTTGAATCACATACTAAATGAAAAAAAAACCATGAGCAGAACATGAACCAGGCTCGGCCCTAGGTTGTCCCGGTTAATAAGCTTATGAGTTACCAGCGCGAAAAGGAGCCAGTCAACACATAAAACAACTTCATGGCAATGGGCAGTTTCTGCTCTAAGATGCACCAGCAGGGAATCTTGGTAACTGTATAAATTTCATCAAAATAAATATCCAGTCCAACATGGTGAATACAATAATTATTACCATGATTCCCTACTGGTGCATCTCATAAAGGGAACTGGCTAATGATGTTCTCTTGATAGTATTCTTATTTGCAAAATTTGTGATATCAGTTGGTATTTAAATGCACTGCTACCTTCTAATGTCGACCTCTGACCAATGATGCCATTTTGCATCTACTAAAATCCAGTAAGTAACAATTTGACATCAGTTATTTTAAGCTTCCCATTATTTCAAACTCAAACCCATTTCCCTTGATTGTGCCCTAGTTTTGTTTCTTCAGTTACTTACTGTTGTAAACTAGTACTAATACTAGTCATCTTGCTTATTTTGTTTGTCAGAAATTGTCCAATTTCTCACTGGTTATTAAGGATACAGGGATATGCTAACAGCTGAGGAAAAAAGATGGCTGGTAGTTGGAATTTGCCTTTCAAAAGTTCTTACACCAGCAATAAGGAAGGTTATTGAACAAGAACTACATCAACTTTATCAGAACTTGATTCAGCCACCTACCAACATCCATTCACAAACATCTTCCTCTCATCATAAATGCCTTCCTCCCTCTGCACTGCGTCTGAATTATGTAAACATCAACAACAACGTCACTCAAGCATCACACCGCAGCTATGATTACAGTGTTAAAGATGAAGTTTCCCTGGCTAAACTCTTTGTGAAACCATTCATGGCAGGCTTCACAGCTTTTGATGAATCATTAGATTCATCTGCTGCCCTTTCCATTTTGTGCGGAGCGCCAAACTTTGTTTTTCTTGGTATTGATATCATTGCCATGGATGTCCGCAATGATGTTCGCAATGAATGGGGTCATTGTAAGTTTGCAACATGGAGTGAGGCCTACTACTTGCACTGTTTCCAACTTATGGAAAATCTGATCAAAAGACTAAAACTCCCTGCAACTTTTGAGGCAAAGGTCTTGGAAGATTTCAAAGAGTGGAAAAACAGAGGTAATGTGCCATGTGCCAACTTGCATTGTAATGTTACTTTTTAGTGTGCAAATTGATTAACTCATGGGGATAATATGCTTGTCATATTTATTGTTTAGTACAACACCAAATTATGTGAACTGCAAACTGATAGAAATGTATAGCAGAAGAAGATAGTAACAGGGGTCACACTCAGTTAAATTGAGGTGGTGAATGATAAAGTCTACTATCTTTCTATGATTCCTAAATTCTTTAGCCTTGCAAGAGACGGCAAGACTCTGAGAAAACATTGCACAAATTCAAGATTGCAAGCACTGGGAAACTTGGCTAAATTTCTGGAAGGCCCTCAATTTGTGAAGGACTTTTGTCCACCACCCCTCAGTAATATGTATCCATATATGTGGCCATTATTCTAATAAATTTGATTCTCCTGAAAAAATTAAAATTACCCAGTGCTTGTTAATAACTATTTATGTTCATAGCTGAGGTTTTCTATGCATTTTCACAGGGATTGACATGTGCTTTGGACAGCCAATAAACAATGATGTTTTAAAGCTTGTCCAGGAAGAAGTAGTAACATTAGTTACCTCTGTGGAGGAAAACAAAGAAACCTGGACGCAAGACCATGAAGGATTGAAGACAAACCTTCAGAATTTGACACAGCTTTTTGCCCTTGACATCAAAAGACTTGAAGCTAAGCATGTGGCCTTGGAGAGTGGTCTAAATGACCTTAAAGACAACCAGTTGAAAATTAAAGATTCAGTGGTTGAAAATGAACTTATAGCTTCATCAAATGCTTCTCTGATACAACAGGTCAGAGATAACTTTGAAGAGGAACGCAAAGATCTTCAAAGTCAACACGAGATTCTTGAAGGAAAATTTGTTGGTTTATCAAGAGGAGTGGAAAAGATGAATTCAAAAGAAAACTTTTTCAGAAGTGGTACAATATTATTATATCTATTAATGAAACAATAATCAAATTGCAAGGTGATGCTCTGGCACTTCCCAGGATATTCTTTTTCAAAAGGGGTCTAGAAAGTAATCTGCCACATTGTAACAACTTAAGCTACCATTGCCCCTGGGGGGTACTCCCATATAAAAAGGACAGGGGGGGCTTGTTGTACCTTTTAGGGGTTAAAAAAAAATTGAAAGGAGGAGCTTTCAGGGTACCTTCTAGGATACTGAGCCAGAAAAATATGTCAGGAGATATTTGTCAATCAACTAAATTTTTAATTTTGTCTCATTTACAATTGTCTTTATCGCCATTAAAAATGATGAAAGTGTCAGTTAATGTTTGGAAGTCTTTTTTGTCTTTTTTCATTTAGTTATTTATTGGTTTATTTATATGTTGTTTCAGGACTCCTTTGGAAAATTCCTACAGTAGTTCTGTTTGGCTTTCTTGTGATCTTCCTTTATGAACACTATTCCAGAGGATCTATGCTTCATTATTGGTATTGTCGGAGAGGTAGCATACAAGGCCACACATTGTCATTTGTTTTCAATACACATGATGTGCAGGTACAGTGTCTGTAGGTGACCTGTGATAGGATAGTTTTATTTAACCAGCACTCAGATTACTGAATCAAAGAAACATCACAAGGTCCAATAACTTCATCGCCAGGTGTAGGCATATTTTGGCCTAAAAGGCACTAAGTTGGGAATATGTCTCAAGACAGTCATTGCTATTGAAAGAGTAATATCTGGTCAGTGGTGCCAGGTGTTTTTTTCATGGTAGCGATACTGGCTCCATGTTCTTAATTTGGAGTCTGTGATCACAATTAAGCTTACATGTACATCTGTAACACAATAGTAGTAACAACATGATGGCATAAATGGTGGTATCTTGTGAATTAGAATGCCAAGTGACTTTTGTTGAACCATATTTATCACCATCATGAAGTAAATGGTTACCAGAATAACATCATACTCTGTCAAGCATCCTTATTGTAGCTAGTTAACATGCTAATAGATTAGAAAGAGCTCTCTGAGCTCCCCATTTTCCCTCAGAATTGTTTCTTACTGATATACCATAGACTTTCTGAAATCTGGTTGGCCAATAATTTAATATAAATGATGCTTGTCTGACTTTTGATCAATGTTAATTGAAAATGTTTTCCTTTTTTGCTTTATTCTCTCTAATTTTAGAAACCAACAGTGAATGGAATTGAGTTCAGTTGGGAAACCCTAAAAAACAAATTGGGTCTTAAAATTCAGCCTTTCAATTGTCCAGGTATTTCACCTTTTTTTATAATGTTACCATCAGTGTAAGACCTTTAACACGTACAAAAAAAAAGCGAAACGGCTGGCTTGGTTTTACAAACCTGATGACACCAAAACGCCAAAGAAACATAAAAATATGCATAAATAACTTTTATTTTACAGTGATGTGCACCACACTGTCGCCAGACGAGAAAAGTTGTTTAAATTTTTTTCCAATTTTCACAGCATTCTTTCACCTGGCTAATGGCTTTTTCTCATTGACCAGTCAAACTATGAAAAATGTGGTAGGCGTTGTTGATATGGCAACATGACCCCACACTCAATCTTTTGAATTTTGGTTGCCGCTATCAAACCGAAGAAAAAGCTCATCAAGTTAGCATGGATCAGCATGCCCCCACAATAAAACACATTGACTGATGCATTTTTGTTTCAATTATTTTTAAGGGATCAGGTATTACCTTAACATTGACCGCTGTGCATATGGTGGTGTAATAGCTGTACGTTCTTTGTTGGATGGCACTCCGCAAGTACGTGGTGCTGAGATTCTGGCCGCAAAGTCCGTGAACTCTGAGTGTACCCAAGTATATTACAATGATGACGGAGTTTGGAAACGCTATGAAAGTGCCACAAATATTCGTTGCAAGCCCTGAAAAAGAGTGAGGACGGATTAAGCGATGGATCAACGCTTTAAGAGGATTTCCTATTGTCAATATATCAATCAAAAGCGTTATTACAGTGTCTTTTCCTCAAGCCAGCCATCAAGCCCTGCTAATCCGGGACACTAAAGCGTACTTTTCGACACTTGTTCCTACGAATGTAGCTTCATGTCAGCGCAAAATGGACTTTTGCGAGAGAGTCTATCTGTTAAATAAGTTGTAGTGAGCGACATTTAGTAGTGGTTCGGTTTACAAGGTCAGCTGCAAAGAAGGCCATCTCCAATATTACTGAGGAAATGAAAAATTCTGCATGACCAACCTCAGGGTAACATGCGGCAACATGCGCTGAATTTCTTTTTTCATGCTATAGCCAAAAATGTCACATATTGCTCGTTAATGTCGATCTGGTCTTGACTGTTTAAGTGTTTATGAATTTACGGTTTGAAACAACCTTTGTCTGAATCTAAACTAGTTTAGGTTAGACTTCCTATCATGTTACCTATGCTGCTTTTCTTCCTTTCATCCAAGGTGAAAATGAGGAAAATGCCAGTGCGCGCGTGTAGCAGCGGACGCTTTTTTTGGCGCGAGAATATGGCTTCTTTGAGCCCACGTGACTTGAGAGGGCCACAGAAGCACAGACAGAAGCACGCAATCAAGGAGGCATTCTCCAAAACATAACTCTACGTCCTGTAATTGAGCTGTAATATTTATCGTGTAAAAACAAACACTTATAGAAAATAGCCAAGGTGGACACAGGAGAACGCTCTTTATATGAACTCTGCCCGTGTTTTTAATACCAGCACTAGCTAGGTGAGGGTGGTATCAAAAATTGTCTGCTTTCTCCGAGTTTTTTCCTAAGATTATATGGGATGTTCTCTATACTTTAATGATTGTATTCTAATTTTGTGTTCAGTGTTAGTTTCTCAGGTCCTTTAATTCAGGGCACTTAGAAAATAACCCAGCCAAAAATTTGTTTTTCGGCTGGAAACAGAGCTTATTAGAGTTGTTACCCTCTTCATTTAAATTATTACTTTATTTATCTCGCAGATTATTGCGTTCAGTTTAGTACACGGCCTGGTTAGTGTTAAGTGGGTAGACGCTGTTGTTTTCGCTAGCTGTTTAGAACTAACAGATCTCTCCAGGAGCCATAATCGGGGACGGAGTCCCCGATCAAGCCGAGTTTATATTTCAGTCATAATTTTCGTTGTACTGTTCTTATCACGTTTAATGATCGTTTACGACTCGTCTTTACTTCTCTCCTCCCCCTCCCCCTCCCCCCGCTCTATATCAGTACCCCTCACAGTAAAGTGATAACCCTCCACATAGCAGGTTAGTGTACGAAGATGTACTACAACTTTATGAAATAAAACATCGTTCTTTTCGAAAACACTGTTCTTTCGAAAACATCGTTCAGTCTTATTCAAAAGATCAATATTTCAGTTCAAGAAAATACCTTTTGCGATAGAGACACAAACCTCCTGAGGGTAAAGCACGATTACCTTGTGAGCTTACGGTAGTGCAGCAGTAAACTTAACGTTATTAAGAGGTGACTGACAATAATTCAGTATCTTATGTAAATCGATTATACATGGAAGTCAAAGCGTAGGCGTAAAGTGGCAGAGGTCCAATTTGGCACTTCTTCAACGAATGATCCTGACTAGGAAACTTTATCCGGCCCTGAGACGGAGGTGAACGAGTTCTCGACGTTATATGTATTATGTTTACTGAGCACGGCATTACGATTAAGTGCTATTGATCGAAGAAGTAGGCTGTTAGCCACTATAACTGACTCCGAAGACTCCGCTACATCTCCTTTAGGGTCTGTAGGCGACGTTCTTGAAAGAATTTTTGGTATATCAATTTCAGAATCAGTCAGGCCTTGAGTTATGGGATTTCTATTCAAGTGCCGGAAATATTCCCTGATCTTTCAATACTGAACCCGTTTCAGGTTAAAGTGAAAACAAGTGCACAATGACAGTATTGTCCGCTGGAAACTTTGACCTACAACATATGTCCATCACATTTAGATTTTTGTATAGCTCGGGCAATTTCACGTACAACACTTGGTTACAAAAGTAATAGCATTCGCAATAGCAGAGTAAATTAGTAGCAATGACTGTAAAATTGTAATTTCACTTAGCAGGCAGCTGGTAATGAGTGAGTGACATCAGGGAATGCCGATTGTCCATGGTAATGTGCTCAGACTTGGGGATCAGACGGTCATTAGGATTACGCGCCAAGATCATGAAGATTATATCACGACAAAAAAATGGTCCGGCCTTACAGGCTACTGTTACGTTAAAATGAGATATTGGTACTATTCAAACTTTGACGTCCGTAAAAGCTATTCTTCAGTTAATGAGTCCATATCCAACAGTAGAGTAGGGTCTGAGTGTGGCATTGCACTCTCAGTTAAATTTCGGCTAATTTATCGGATCATCAGTTAAAATTTCTGCCCAATATCAGTTGTCGGTAAATTTTACAGATCTTAGATCTATTAGTTTAAAAAATGCTTCATTTCTTAGACTGCATAGAAGGCATAAAATGGGGGCGAGGGGGAGTAAGAGCGGGGATGGAAAGAAGAGGGGTGTGTGTTTTGCCTCCTCCACCCCTTCAAACTGATCAGTTCAACCCCATCTAACCCTCATAGAGAGGTGATCGTTAAGTATAAGATACTAAATTTTCCACATTTCCAAGTCCGTTATATCGCTGAAAGAGCCTCTGATGTGGTGAGAAATTTGCTTTTGTTCCTAGATTTCAGTACGACTTTATAACCTTAAGCCTGAGATCCTGGGGCAGTTGTTCTCAGTTAATTCAGGATTAAAGCAAATTCTAACTTCAGCTTTGCAACCTTTCAGTGAGGTTTACTGTTTGTTGTTACTCTTACTCACGTTATTTCCTGGTGTTATTTATGTTATTTGACCTTATTTGTTCCTTCAGTTCCAAGACTTCTAACTTTGAAACCGTCTATACGTTTAGAAGAACTTTAATTTTGTTTTTAAGATTACTGTTCTAATTGGCTTTATCATTGAACCAAGCCAGCATTGAATTCTGCTATGGAAACGAGAAAGGCGAGAAAGGCAAATGCATGCACAACTTCGAGATAGCTGGCCTAGTTTAGGTTGTTTTTTCAAGAGAATAATCTTTTTGCACCTGTGGCTGTAACATCCGGGATCTCGAGTGTTAAAAATTCATGATCATGCGCAATGTTGAAGGCGCAAGCCACGAGAACGTGGTAGTGAGGCTCGGCTTAGTTGGCGTCCGATCACAGGCTATACAACTCCATGAGCAGCTACTAGGCAGTTATAACCTTCACCATGTTAAAAATTGGCAGCAAAAGTAACCTAGAGGGAGAGTTTCAGTGTAAGATCAGCCTTCTAGACGATACGGAGCTGTCATGCGATTTCAAGGTAAGGATCGTGTCCTAAAAGCGCGCGAAGTTCTGTAAAGATGAACTTTACACTAAGTGAACTTTCCTGATCTTTGCTGCTTTCTTCCAGCAATATGGNATGTCTCAAGACAGTCATTGCTATTGAAAGAGTAATATCTGGTCAGTGGTGCCAGGTGTTTTTTTCATGGTAGCGATACTGGCTCCATGTTCTTAATTTGGAGTCTGTGATCACAATTAAGCTTACATGTACATCTGTAACACAATAGTAGTAACAACATGATGGCATAAATGGTGGTATCTTGTGAATTAGAATGCCAAGTGACTTTTGTTGAACCATATTTATCACCATCATGAAGTAAATGGTTACCAGAATAACATCATACTCTGTCAAGCATCCTTATTGTAGCTAGTTAACATGCTAATAGATTAGAAAGAGCTCTGTGAGCTCCCCATTTTCCCTCAGAATTGTTTCTTACTGATATACCATAGACTTTCTGAAATCTGGTTGGCCAATAATTTAATATAAATGATGCTTGTCTGACTTTTGATCAATGTTAATTGAAAATGTTTTCCTTTTTTGCTTTATTCTCTCTAATTTTAGAAACCAACAGTGAATGGAATTGAGTTCAGTTGGGAAACCCTAAAAAACAAATTGGGTCTTAAAATTCAGCCTTTCAATGGTCCAGGTATTTCACCTTTTTTTATAATGTTACCATCAGTGTAAGACCTGTAACACGTACAAAAAAAAAGCGAAACGGCTGGCTTGGTTTTACAAACCTGATGACACCAAAACGCCAAAGAAACATAAAAATATGCATAAATAACTTTTATTTTACAGTGATGTGCACCACACTGTCGCCAGACGAGAAAAGTTGTTTAAATTTTTTTCCAATTTTCACAGCATTCTTTCACCTGGCTAATGGCTTTTTCTCATTGACCAGTCAAACTATGAAAAATGTGGTAGGCGTTGTTGATATGGCAACATGACCCCACACTCAATCTTTTGAATTTTGGTTGCCGCTATCAAACCGAAGAAAAAGCTCATCAAGTTAGCATGGATCAGCATGCCCCCACAATAAAACACATTGACTGATGCATTTTTGTTTCAATTATTTTTAAGGGATCAGGTATTACCTTAACATTGACCGCTGTGCATATGGTGGTGTAATAGCTGTACGTTCTTTGTTGGATGGCACTCCGCAAGTACGTGGTGCTGAGATTCTGGCCGCAAAGTCCGTGAACTCTGAGTGTACCCAAGTATATTACAATGATGACGGAGTTTGGAAACGCTATGAAAGTGCCACAAATATTCGTTGCAAGCCCTGAAAAAGAGTGAGGACGGATTAAGCGATGGATCAACGCTTTAAGAGGATTTCCTATTGTCAATATATCAATCAAAAGCGTTATTACAGTGTCTTTTCCTCAAGCCAGCCATCAAGCCCTGCTAATCGGGGACACTAAAGCGTACTTTTCGACACTTGTTCCTACGAATGTAGCTTCATGTCAGCGCAAAATGGACTTTTGCGAGAGAGTCTATCAGTTAAATAAGTTGTAGTGAGCGACATTTAGTAGTGGTTCGGTTTACAAGGTCAGCTGCAAAGAAGGCCATCTCCAATATTACTGAGGAAATGAAAAATTCTGCATGACCAACCTCAGGGTAACATGCGGCAACATGCGCTGAATTTCTTTTTTCATGCTATAGCCAAAAATGTCACATATTGCTCGTTAATGTCGATCTGGTCTTGACTGTTTAAGTGTTTATGAATTTACGGTTTGAAACAACCTTTGTCTGAATCTAAACTAGTTTAGGTTAGACTTCCTATCATGTTACCTATGCTGCTTTTCTTCCTTTCATCCAAGGTGAAAATGAGGAAAATGCCAGTGCGCGCGTGTAGCAGCGGACGCTTTTTTTGGCGCGAGAATATGGCTTCTTTGAGCCCACGTGACTTGAGAGGGCCACAGAAGCACAGACAGAAGCACGCAATCAAGGAGGCATTCTCCAAAACATAACTCTACGTCCTGTAATTGAGCTGTAATATTTATCGTGTAAAAACAAACACTTATAGAAAATAGCCAAGGTGGACACAGGAGAACGCTCTTTATATGAACTCTGCCCGTGTTTTTAATACCAGCACTAGCTAGGTGAGGGTGGTATCAAAAATTGTCTGCTTTCTCCGAGTTTTTTCCTAAGATTATATGGGATGTTCTCTATACTTTAATGATTGTATTCTAATTTTGTGTTCAGTGTTAGTTTCTCAGGTCCTTTAATTCAGGGCACTTAGAAAATAACCCAGCCAAAAATTTGTTTTTCGGCTGGAAACAGAGCTTATTAGAGTTGTTACCCTCTTCATTTAAATTATTACTTTATTTATCTCGCAGATTATTGCGTTCAGTTTAGTACACGGCCTGGTTAGTGTTAAGTGGGTAGACGCTGTTGTTTTCGCTAGCTGTTTAGAACTAACAGATCTCTCCAGGAGCCATAATCGGGGACGGAGTCCCCGATCAAGCCGAGTTTATATTTCAGTCATAATTTTCGTTGTACTGTTCTTATCACGTTTAATGATCGTTTACGACTCGTCTTTACTTCTCTCCTCCCCCTCCCCCTCCCCCCGCTCTATATCAGTACCCCTCACAGTAAAGTGATAACCCTCCACATAGCAGGTTAGTGTACGAAGATGTACTACAACTTTATGAAATAAAACATCGTTCTTTTCGAAAACACTGTTCTTTCGAAAACATCGTTCAGTCTTATTCAAAAGATCAATATTTCAGTTCAAGAAAATACCTTTTGCGATAGAGACACAAACCTCCTGAGGGTAAAGCACGATTACCTTGTGAGCTTACGGTAGTGCAGCAGTAAACTTAACGTTATTAAGAGGTGACTGACAATAATTCAGTATCTTATGTAAATCGATTATACATGGAAGTCAAAGCGTAGGCGTAAAGTGGCAGAGGTCCAATTTGGCACTTCTTCAACGAATGATCCTGACTAGGAAACTTTATCCGGCCCTGAGACGGAGGTGAACGAGTTCTCGACGTTATATGTATTATGTTTACTGAGCACGGCATTACGATTAAGTGCTATTGATCGAAGAAGTAGGCTGTTAGCCACTATAACTGACTCCGAAGACTCCGCTACATCTCCTTTAGGGTCTGTAGGCGACGTTCTTGAAAGAATTTTTGGTATATCAATTTCAGAATCAGTCAGGCCTTGAGTTATGGGATTTCTATTCAAGTGCCGGAAATATTCCCTGATCTTTCAATACTGAACCCGTTTCAGGTTAAAGTGAAAACAAGTGCACAATGACAGTATTGTCCGCTGGAAACTTTGACCTACAACATATGTCCATCACACATTTAGATTTTTGTATAGCTCGGGCAATTTCACGTACAACACTTGGTTACAAAAGTAATAGCATTCACAATTGCAGAGTAAATTAGTAGCAATGACTGTAAAATTGTAATTTCACTTAGCAGGCAGCTGGTAATGAGTGAGTGACATCAGGGAATGCCGATTGTCCATGGTAATGTGCTCAGACTTGGGGATCAGACGGTCATTAGGATTACGCGCCAAGATCATGAAGATTATATCACGACAAAAAAATGGTCCGGCCTTACAGGCTACTGTTACGTTAAAATGAGATATTGGTACTATTCAAACTTTGACGTCCGTAAAAGCTATTCTTCAGTTAATGAGTCCATATCCAACAGTAGAGTAGGGTCTGAGTGTGGCATTGCACTCTCAGTTAAATTTCGGCTAATTTATCGGATCATCAGTTAAAATTTCTGCCCAATATCAGTTGTCGGTAAATTTTACAGATCTTAGATCTATTAGTTTAAAAAATGCTTCATTTCTTAGACTGCATAGAAGGCATAAAATGGGGGCGAGGGGGAGTAAGAGCGGGGATGGAAAGAAGAGGGGTGTGTGTTTTGCCTCCTCCACCCCTTCAAACTGATCAGTTCAACCCCATCTAACCCTCATAGAGAGGTGATCGTTAAGTATAAGATACTAAATTTTCCACATTTCCAAGTCCGTTATATCGCTGAAAGAGCCTCTGATGTGGTGAGAAATTTGCTTTTGTTCCTAGATTTCAGTACGACTTTATAACCTTAAGCCTGAGATCCTGGGGCAGTTGTTCTCAGTTAATTCAGGATTAAAGCAAATTCTAACTTCAGCTTTGCAACCTTTCAGTGAGGTTTACTGTTTGTTGTTACTCTTACTCACGTTATTTCCTGGTGTTATTTATGTTATTTGACCTTATTTGTTCCTTCAGTTCCAAGACTTCTAACTTTGAAACCGTCTATACGTTTAGAAGAACTTTAATTTTGTTTTTAAGATTACTGTTCTAATTGGCTTTATCATTGAACCAAGCCAGCATTGAATTCTGCTATGGAAACGAGAAAGGCGAGAAAGGCAAATGCATGCACAACTTCGAGATAGCTGGCCTAGTTTAGGTTGTTTTTTCAAGAGAATAATCTTTTTGCACCTGTGGCTGTAACATCCGGGATCTCGAGTGTTAAAAATTCATGATCATGCGCAATGTTGAAGGCGCAAGCCACGAGAACGTGGTAGTGAGGCTCGGCTTAGTTGGCGTCCGATCACAGGCTATACAACTCCATGAGCAGCTACTAGGCAGTTATAACCTTCACCATGTTAAAAATTGGCAGCAAAAGTAACCTAGAGGGAGAGTTTCAGTGTAAGATCAGCCTTCTAGACGATACGGAGCTGTCATGCGATTTCAAGGTAAGGATCGTGTCCTAAAAGCGCGCGAAGTTCTGTAAAGATGAACTTTACACTAAGTGAACTTTCCTGATCTTTGCTGCTTTCTTCCAGCAATATGGCCGGCAGGTTCGCGCAGTCTGCTCGAAAGCTTTCTCCTGCACGTTCTTTAGAACCAAAAGATTATGCAATGAAAGGAAAAGCTGCGTGTTGCTTTGTATCTGAAAAGTCATTAACCTAAAAACCGAGGCACACTGTGTGTCGTTGAAGAGTGGAATGATAACATAACAAAATTAAGCAGCACGATTTCACGGGAATAAATTGGTCGCTTCGACTGAATCAGGAGTAAAATTGGAGTTCGACGGTTACATCTTTAGTTTGTTCCGCTCGCGCAAAACCCGCCAATATTTTAATTCATTCTAGAATTCGAAGAGTTTGGAGCAAACTCGAAAAATTGTTTTCGTGCTTTTATTTCGTTTCTTTTCCTATGACTAACGAAGAATTAATCATTAGAGGTTTTCCCCGTTCTTGTTTGTCTATTTGTAGAAATTCAGGAAAGTTGTGTCATGATGTATTGCCCTCGCGGCCACTTTGGTTCTGAACTTGTCGGCGCGGTGCGGTTTTTCGGTGTGAGCTTTAAAGTAATCAGCAACGTACAATGTAGATTTGTTTTTTGCCGTTGTCGTAACGGGAAGGTTAAGGTGACATATTTAAGAGTTTGCAACCCTAGCAATGAAGGTTTCTTCCGCATTTTCCCCTGGAACGAGTGATAAGCAAAGTTGAAATACTACACGCGAATCTTGCAATCGCTCAAGCGTGACTAAGCTAGTCACAAAGTGGTTCCCTTAAGTCTCCTCTTTTGAATTTCGATTTTTATTTACGGTTCGGGTTTCTGTCCAATACTTCTAGTCTAGATAGCTAAAAGGGTGTACGAAAGAACAAGATGACAGCAATTTTTGAGACTATGGTTTTTGCTAGATTGATCTTTGTATTCTTCAACTCCATGTGCACGTGAACATGGAATGTCAATTTGCGTGGGTCAGGTCTTCTTGCAGTTATGGGGAGCTCAGTTTGGACAAATTCCCCTTCCTTTCAACACTGTTGATCTAATATCGAATATCAAGGATCTCAGTGTAAAAACCTTGTTGTGAAAATAGTTATATTCTGTCCGATTGTCGACAGGTCGTAGAAATTAACGTGCATGTATGTTGCCGTGTATCTTTCATGCTTCATAGAATGCTAACCTTGTAAACTTTGTTTATAGAGTATAATGTAATACTTCCAAGTAGTTTGCACTAATAAAAGGAAGATTACTTGTCAAGAGAGCTAGCTAGTAATAACTTCAGTGTTAATAAATTGTGCAATATGTTAAAATACCTGTAGTCACATGTTTGGGGCTGGGCTACTTTTCATGGTTTAACAAATAAACGATTTCATTAACACCTCCCTTTTGTTTGTGCGAATTTGCTCCTCGAAAACACAGAGGGACGTTAAAGGACAGAGCGTTTTCGATGAGGTGTGCAAGACCCTGGATTTGCTGGAGAAAGATTATTTCGGTCTTCGTTATGTTGACGATGCAAAACAAAGGGTAAGCTCTTACGGTTTTCTGCAAATTGGTTGTGTGATATTCATGTTGTAAATTTTTGTGAATCGGTAATTGTTTAAAGCGTGGCTCCTTTTTACGGTCCTTGTTTAGTCTGACCTTTTCATGAATATTGTTACTAATCTCTCAAAATCATGTGGTCCTAATCATTGTAAAACTTGTTACTTCCATTTATCTTACTATTTTTAAAGCTAACTTACAGTTTAGTCGTATGAGGACAAAATCGATTTTTAATTAGTTGTGCAGAATGGAACAGCAGGCTAAGATGTGTCTATGAAATTCTTTGGTCACATTTCAAATAAAATGGCCAAAAGTAAATATATGTTTACAGACAATTAGATTCTTATCTGTCCAAGATATAAGCATGGCAAATTGATGGCCACACTTTCTTGTGTGCATCTATCTATGAATATTTAGCATATTTGTTTTCATTTATTTGATCACCAACTTAAACACTTAATAAACATTCTTTGAACATTGTCATCACTTACTTCACCTCAGGTGCAAATCCACATCTACTTCTTATGTTTTATATAAATTACAGTATGCAATATTGTTGAGCAAAAACTGTAAACAAGCTGAAGTGTTTTTCTTGTAGAGGATTAAATGCTTCAGATACAAAGGCCTTGAACATGGATGCCTGTCTCTGCTGTCAGTACATAACATGTTTTGCTTTGTTTTCAGCACTGGCTTGATCTCAATAAGAGTGTTATTAAGCAGATGAAAAGTAAGTATTTTTTCTAGATCTGAGTGTTTAATTAATCAAAGTTTTTGCTCTTGGAGGAACCACAACTCCAATCTAAGAGCAACAAGTTCAAATTATTCCATATTATATGGCAAGGTAGTCTTGAGGTAAATCGGAACATTCTGATTGGTGCTTTTTTGGTTAAGACTTTGCCATACAGATCATCTTCATGGAAATTGTCATAAGCCATATATTTTTTTTTTCAAAAGACAGCAAATTCAAAATTTGCAGATAAAACTGCATGGCTAAGAGGGTCACATAATAACCTACATGTAATATATAGATTAAGCCAAGCCTAAAAGCAGAGCCCCTGGAAGCCTGATTAAGGTAACCAGCATAAATGAGAATAATTTTTTATTTGAGTTTTGTTACTGTACGTCAAGGTTTTCTGTTTATATTGTTTGGCCTTCTGTTTGGAGTTTGAATAATCTCAAACTACACAAAACTTACGCAGTGAAAAGTATTTTAATACAAGAAAAATTTATGCTTTGGTTAGCTTTTAATCCTGGGTTGGCGTTAACTGGCTTCCAAACATTACAGCAAGTAAACCTGACACAAGCCCACAATCCAATCGAATACCAGCACTTGGTCAGCGGTCAACTTTAAAAAAAACCTTGATCTCAACGAGCCCTAAACTTGAACCTGCAATGTGGTCTTGTGATACTGGTCAGCATATACCTTGATTTGACAGGTGTCAATTGACCATAACATGGATGTCCAATATCAAAGAAGTATGCTATAAACCAAGGCTGCATGTGTCTGTCAACCTATTAGCTGGAATATGGCCGCCATCTTGTGCGATTCCATCATCGTTGTGTGTATGCGCCCACAAGCAATACCACTAGCCATGATAACCATGAGAAAATCAATTTATGGGTTTCCTTTTCTTTCCTAGACGTATATGAGTATGGAGCTCTGCTACTAACTAACCTAGCTTGCCCAAGGCAAACTGGGGAATATTGGCCCTTGATCAATTTTGTACGGACTGAGCATGGCGAGGTCTGTATGGGGGCTGATGTTCACCAGTACAGCCCTCTGACTCAGTTATGAATGTTACTTGGGCAACCTGTTGGACATGTTAGTTGGAGTTCTCTTTAGAAGATGGTTACAGGCAGATTTCAACCTTACGTCATGACAGATTAATTAATTGATGTAGCAGCCGGTTTTTGCGTGAAAGTACCAGGCTTATGCTGTAATAAAGTGTTTTCTAGTCTTTTGTATCTGCCTGTTATATATCCTTAGCCCTGACAAAAAAAAATACTGGGACCCTGCCACCTCAGCACATGAGAAACAAAGGACAGTTGAAATCTGTTTTTCGAGAAGGAAATATGTTTACTAAGAAACCTCTTACAAGAGATTAGAGTGGGACATGTAGTATCACTGTTGGTACATTTTAACTTGTCATTTGTATGTTGAGGTGTCATACACGCTCACTAAAATAAAGGAAGACTTTTTTAATTGTACAGCTTTTCATGCATTCCAACCTGGCTTACAAGGTGTATGTTGGAGGAAGTATTACATTCAATAAACATAACGGTTATGTGTTGGTGGATGAACAGAGCCATCCTTTAATGTCGATAAACCCCACACTTACAAGTACATAGTGGAGTTATATCCAGACGTGTCTTTGATATTATGTTTATCACCATCCCTGTTGACTCCTCACCATAACTGTTTGCTGTTCTTTGTGTGCAGCTCTGAAGCCTCCATACAAGTTGTTTTTCAGAGTGAAGTTCTATGCTGTGGATCCAAGTGTTCTTCATGAGGAAATAACTAGGTGAGCGGCGGATATCTGCCTTTCAGTTTGTACGTGAATTTGTCAAGTATATTGTATTGTTAAATGATGTGTTGTTCAAAAAATGATTTTTGTTTACACAAGTGATCTGAGGACCCACAACTTTCTTTCTGTGGTGTATTACTTAGTAAACTACTTTTATATGGTCGGTGAGAAATACAATTTTAGCGTTGACTTATTTTCTTAGATAAGGGTTCTGAGAGCGCAAGGCAGAAGATGGGAAACTTCATCACACTCCCTCCTCTCTGTCCCAAGCATGATGTCATTTATTATGATTTAACATTTTTTTTTCTGGGCAAAAATCTCAGCAGTTGTATAATCATGACATTCAAACATTTGAAAACAAACATCTCTCATATATCCAAAACACATGTGATTTTCATAGGGTGAAAACAAGTGAATCTTCACCGTAACATGTATTGATTGCACAAGTATTCTTGAATGTGTTAGATGACTGATTCTTTATGATCCTTTGTTGTCCAGATATCAGTTTTTCCTTCAAGTTAAGAGAGATATTCTGCATGGCAGGTAAGGAATAAGAAAACTGGATTTTATTTTTTAATTTAGATTTGAAGTATTTTGCTGTAATGGCACAACAGATATGGGTAGGCTGATCGTAGAAAGTCACAAGTTTCTCAACCATCACTTTAACATCACAAAATAGTTAGTGATCATTCACATGCTTTGCTCATGCATAGATCTCGGCTTTGTGTTGGCAAAACATCAATTTCTGTTTCTTCCAATTATCACAAATTTTGTGTCTCATCATTTAGTAATGTGACTACTAAGAAGACAACTAAATTTTACAAAATAGTAATATTCCCCTTGAAGGGGTTGGCACGATGAAAACTTTTGTTTTTAATTCCCTGGAATAGAGTCGATGATTCGAGTTTGATATTTTACAGACTTGATGTTATGAAAAAAAAAAAACTCTTTGTTCTATACTTATCATAGTTTTACTGATGATCGATTGTTAAGGTGTACTTTCTTTGCCTGTCAACAGACTCCTGTGCACCTTTAATGACTTGACAGAACTGGGAGCTTACATTGTGCAAGGTATGTTAAAAACGCATAAGATTAATATATGCATGAGTTCGGTTTCTAAGCTACAATGTTTAAGAAATAGAAAACATGTACCGTGTTTCTAACGAGTTATAGAAACACGAGTGGAAGTTTGGGAGAACAAGAAATGATGTAGAACACGAGCCGCAGGCGAGTGTTTCCACAGCTTTTTCCAGTTCTCCCAAACTCTCATGAGTGTTTCTATAACTCAGTAGAAACACAGAGAGCATGTTTTCTATTTCTTTTGGAAAACACTAGGACGAAAAAAAGGAAAACAACTTGTTTACTTTGATCATCAAAATGTAAATTCTCTTTGCATGCGCCATCATTATGTTAACAGCTCGTGCTAGTTCTGTGTTGCTATCGTGTTTCTACTATCAAGTTATAGAAACACAATTTTTAACCAATCAGCATGCATATTTTCTTAGGGCTGTTTTCTAAATAAGATTAACTATGCATGAGTTCAGTTTCTAAGCTACAATGTATAAAGCTATTAGGTACAGCTAAACAGAAAAGTGGCCTTTTATATCTGTTGTATATTGTGGATGCAGAATCAATCTTATTTTTTTGTGAAGTGTAGATCAGGAAGACAACTGCTTATTTTAGATAAGTAAAACTCTGACATGATTACTATGTATTGTAACTTATATGTTCTTCATCCAGTGTTCACCGATTGGTAGTGTTGAACCTGACTTGCTCATCCCACATGGATTATGCTCTGAGATTACACTGATACATGTGCATATAAAAGGAGTATATACAAGTAGAATGATTATAGTGTTTAATTTGCTTTTCTTGGACAGCTGAAATTGGAGACTATGATGCCGATGATCATGGAGAGAACTATGTGTCAGAGTTCCGTATTGTCCCAAAGCAAGCTGAGAAGCTAGAGAAGAAAATTGTAGAGATTCACAAGACACTTTCGTAAGTTGGTCTTCCTGCCCCTTACATTAGACATTTGGTAACATGAAAATATGCGACTTTCCTTGGAAATAGTGTTAAGTAAACATAAAATCTACTACTGTGTGAAGCTGAGTGGAAAATGCATTAAGCCTGGCAAACTGGGAAAGGTTATGGGCATCCAAAGTGACTCTTAGCTTATAAGAGGCTAGACTGAACAGTTGTACAGCACTGACTTCTCTCTCTCTCTCTCTCTCTCTCTCTTTGAGTGGTGATTTGAATACTTTAACAACTTTAGTCACTTGGAGCTAGGCTTTGCAGGGTAGACATTTTTCATTCCAAGAATACAGATCAGATGTCTCTACACTCCTGTAGAAGAATTTTTAAGTCTGTCAAAAATTTAGTTGACAAGCAAAAAAAAGTGATTTCTGTGATTAAAATTCTTTCCCAACAGTGGCCAGGTACCCTCTGTTGCTGAAAAGAACTTCCTTGCCAAAGTCAGAGAACTTGATATGTATGGAGTTGATCCACATCCTTGCAAGGTGCGTGTTTTTAGATTTCAAGAAATAATCTTGATTTTAGAAACATTTCTGTGCTTGTTGTCTTCATTGTCCTCATTGTTATAGTTAAAAACCTACATGTAGCTGCTCCTAGAATGAAAGAGAAAAGTAATGGAGGCACTTTCAGAAAATAACACTTTGCAGTGGTTAACCCTTAGTCTATTTCAAATGCATCTAGCTAGAGTTTTCTTAAACCCCGTACCCTCATTCATTGTTGTGCAGTTTCTGTAGACAGTCTGTCAAAAAAATTGTTCCATGAGGCTCAAAAATAGAGTTTTACATTGAACAGGGTTTGTATGGGTCCTGGAAAACCTGGAAAGTCGTGGAAAAGGGCTACTGGTCCTGGAAAGTTCTGGAAATCTGTTAAACTCAAGTAAAAAATATGAAATGTATGGCAGACTGTAAGGAGAATTAACATGTAGATCTTGGGAGTGAAAGGGTTAATGTAGATTTTAGAGTCCTGGAAAAGTCCTGGAAATTTGTTTCTGAAAAAGGGTACGAACCGTGGTTGAAGTGTCTTAGAAACACTTCTGTCACTTTTCGTAGTTAGTTACATGTACTGTACCTGTATGATCCAACATTCCTGTATGCTAATAAAGATCATCTCCATGTGAGAGTTAACATTTTGCATTGGACCTTGCCATGTTTTCCAAAAGACTTAAAGGCATTAGTCTTAAGGTTTGATCTGTGACCAGTTAATTTGAGGTGTTTGTCTTGCTTTCAGGATCAAGACAATGTTCAGCTATACCTGGGACTGACACCAATTGGAATAGCCATTATCAGAGAGGGAAAGAAAGTGTCTGGATTTGTCTGGTAAGCTTAGATGCACAACTTTAAAAATTTTATAATTTCTATAACTTGACCACAATGAAGCTTTAAATGGCAAGTTCTTTTTGTGTGGACTGTTGTTGTTTGTAGGAGTGGTGGTATTGTTGGTGTTATTTATGCAGTCGTGTAAACCTGTATCCTTGACTTGCAATCAGTGGCTCAATTAGCCTGTGAACAGGTTCTCTAGTCTAGGATGGAGTGAAGAGAAAGGGAGAAGAACTCCCCTCAGCCACTTCACTCTCAGCCAGTTCTTTTTTGGCCCTTCCATCTGGAGCCTGTTCACAGGCTATGGCTCAATTTTATAGAGAGCTCATCCAGTGATATACCTCTGAACATATTCTTTGTTTTTGGTCTCTTTGAAGGAGTGAAGTGTTGAAGTGCAGCTATGAGGGGAAAGTATTCTATGTGCAGGTCCATCGAGAGGATGTAAGTGTTAAAACTGACACAAGTTGATTAATAATGATAGTTTAACCTGATATAGTCTTAAACTATTTTTTTTTTTAATAAACAAGTGTCTGATTATTTAAATAGGAAGATGTTATGGTCCAAAGCAAAAATGTTTATTTCTTGAAATTAAAGATAGTTATTCAGAAACCTTGCAATCAAGAAGAATTAAATTTTGTATAACAAGATTTCATCTAAAAAGTCAATACTAACATCTTAAACTTTGAAACACAGCAAATAAGTTCTGCAAGGTGTGTTAAATATCTGTAGATAGATATTGAAAACAAGTGTTGGTCAGTAACAGACTGATTTTGTATTTTCAGCGTAAAGCCAACTATGGCTTCCGGCTCCCTGACCCTCTGGCGTGCAAGCATTTATGGAAATGCGCTGTGGAGCATCTGGCATTTTACAGGTGAAGGATAATTAAAGTCTTAAGCATTTTGACTGCCATCAATCAATCAATCAATCAATCAATCAATCAAGAACTTAATTACAGTGTCTTGTTCTCTAGCCAGCCATTGGCCCCTGCTAATAATTGGGAACACTGCACACCATTGTTGCATTTGTTGAATGCTGCATGTGTAAATGTCACAGTGATGCAAAATGACAGATACCTCCATGCAAAATTAGTCTTGTCTAGATATGAAAAAGAATACTGTAAATTACTGTCGCTTGCATCTAAGCGTGAACATGTGACCCCAAAACATGCTCTGACTGGGTGTCAAACGTGGCATGATTGGTCAGCAAACATTTAAAGTTTAGCAGACGGTAATGATAACTTTTGTGCTAAAAGTTCAGCACACAAAATGGCAGAAAGGTTGGACATTGAAGACTTTCTCAGAGAAATTGACCTTAACCTGTGTCAAATTAGAAATTCAATAGAGTTTGAAGCACCTTGAACAATATTTGCATACTTAACTCCATCAGTACCAGCCAAAAAATTGAGAGTGTTTTTAGCAGTTGATAAATAATGGCACATGTCAACACAATGTTCCTGTACAGGAGAGTAAACTGCGGTTTTCATGTCCACTATCTGGCAGTATTATTGAAATCCTGTCTCATCAAAAAACTTTACAGAAGAAGGATCTTTATCTGACAAGTAAGTAATTAAGGTATAACTGTGTATAAACAAGGTTCCTATGAGTGAATCTCTCACCCGCGCACTTACCCAACCATTTGCATGAACGTGAAAGTTCGCGTTACGGTCTGCTAAACTTCAAATGTTTGATGACCAAGCATGCCATGTTGGACACCCAATTAGAGCATGTTTCAGCATAACATGTTCACGCTTAGATGCAAGTAACGATGGCAGTTTGTTTAAACCCTGTCAAATTCAAGGTACAGTAATAATAATTATCTCCTCAGAGCTTTATTATCTAGCTCTCTGCACGCACTGCAGGCCTATGATGAGGGAGCATCATAGGCCTGCAGTGCGTGCAGAGAGCTAGATAATAAAGCTCTGAGGAGATAATTATTGTACAATTATTGAACCCCACTACCCCTCCCGTTCTTAGTAATGGAAGCAAAACCCTAATTTGAGATGGCAGGGAATTCAAGAGAACTGAGTGTGAGATAGCAAAGTTTAACTGTTTTTTGTTTTTTTAAAGATGTAATTTTATTAACATTTTCTGTCCAGTTGATAATAAAACAACATTGCAAGAGCAAATAATACGTAGATCACATTCAGAGAAGCAAATAGATTTTATTGAAGTTCAAAAGTAACAGTGTTGGAGCTAATAACATGAGACCAGTGCAGTATCAGCAGTAAATACTGATAAAATTATGAGTAATGAATCAGTAATTCACCACATAAGATTACACTTCTTGTGTAGGTCTCAGTTAGGTCAGTGAATTGCTTGCTGTCTCACTTTAGGTGCTTGGTAAGTTAATTCCTTTTTGTTTCTTTTTTCGTCTCTAGTCACAAAGAGAGCACAGTAGCAAAGCCAAAGAGAAAAGCTATCTCACCCCAGAGGCTTTTTAGGAGGTCAAAGCATAAGTACAGGTTAGTTTGTCAAGGTGGCTTGATAATGCGTGAAGGGGTCATGTAACAGGCGTTTAAGCTGGGACACTTGGCTATAAAAAGAAATTAACCTTTCTTTACTCGGCAATGTTTATAGCACAAGTGCTAGTGGGGCCGAGCAAACAACTGAAACAAATAATTCAAATTGAACATAACATTGTTAAGAATCTGAACTGGCCGGAGACAACCAGTTGGCTATTTACAAGCATGACTGAGGATTTCAACTCGGGGTTACCAAGAAACAAATCCAGGTAGTGGTCAGAGTGGGACTTGAACCTGGGACCGCTGGATTGTGAGTCCGACACACTGACCACTTGGCCACGCTGCCTCCTTTGCGGTTGCATTCATGATTGTTAAACACTTTTAGCTGTTCCAGAGACAACAGCCACACAGTACCAATAAAGTCTAGTAGAGTTCAATAGTGGTTGACCATTTTGAAACTCAAGTCACGTATAACCTCCAAACCAATAAAGTAATGGTGATAAACTATTGTAGTTTAAAGTTACAAAAAAGAAAAACAAATTCATTTAAATTCTGCCTGGTCTAGCAAGTTTGTGAATTCTTTCTATTTTTTTTTTTTTTTTTTTTTTTTTTGCACATTTCAGTCACATGATCCGTTTAAACCAATCAACCAAACTAGTGTGAGCAAACATATTTTGTGGATTATAAATATCTTTAATATTGTGTGAACAANTTTTTTTTTTTTTTTTTTTTTTGTGTTTTTTTTTTGCACATTTCACATTTGTTTTTAACCCTCACACGATTTGTGAACAGATAATCAGAGCAGAGCTATTTTGAGTGTATGAAAGGGTTGAATATTAAGTCAATAGTTCAGGCTGCATTATATTTTGAACACTACTCGTTTCTCTCTAATTTCCAGAGTGAAATGTCCATTTTTACAAGAATGTCTGGTTGTCTTTCCCAATGCACCTCTTTTAACCAAGTTATACCGGTTTTAAGATAATGTTCACCACGGAAGTGTCAAACAGTGGATTAAAATCTGTTTTCAATAATTATAGAATAATAATTTTCCAACCAGAAGCTAATCTGCATGTAAATGGAATAATCTGATTGGATGGGTGCTGTCCTCTATCAGACGCGAAAACGAACCATTGCTTTAATTGTTGCTTTGGGTAAAAGCTTAGAATTATTTCCATCTGTTGCTTCCTTTCCAACTTGTGTGCAAAGGTTTTGGGCTATGCAGCGTTAGTAAGCTTTGCTCCATATATCTTTTTTAGCGGGCCAACTCACGACCAGCTGATAGCAGAAAGTGAGAAGATCAGTCGCCCTGAGCCACAGATTAAGAGGTGAGCTAATTTTCTTTTTTTAAAATTTATTTTTTAAATTCGCATATGCAGTCTATATCTTAACTTCCACTTCAATAATTTTCCATGTGTAGTGTAAAGTCTGTAAATTTATCGTGAAGACATTAAAAAAGACGACAGAGCATTGGATTATTATTTTTCCAACTGCTATAAAGCTGCTTCTGTTTTCATGCATTGGTTGACAATTTCTCAACGACTGTCCCATTTCCTGCGTTATATTCCAAATTTCCGTTACTGTTTTTTTTTTTCCTGAACAGCTCCAACGGTACCTTTGCACGACACAAATATCTTTCTAACGGTCCGGGTGATTCGTACTGCGTTTACTTTTTAGTTGAAATAAGGATCCGGCGTGATTCATTTCTAGTTCAACACTGGTTGTGGGTTTGCTGACAGCAATAATTTGAGTCCTATATGAAATTCTGTTTCATTTTACTATGATCGTTCGGTGTTTGTCGGCTTTGTGTTTTAAATATTGTTTTTTTGAGATCGACCTGAAAACTTTTCTTTTTTGTCGTCGGAAATTCTGTCTCTAGTGCAACAAAAGTTTAAAAACAGCTAAATGAAGCGAAACAGATGGTTTGCCACAACAGCCGGTTTCTGCCTTTTTTCCGCGCGTAACAAACGACGCAAAAAAGAAATCCTTCTGCTCTCTCACACTAGCAAACAGGCTGCATTTATCTTTTAAGCAGTTAAGTTTAGCACTTCTTCTTTCCAGTACAGTGAGATTTTCCGAGAGATATGTATAAACTGATAACTGACATCAACTGTTTACAAGTGATTGGTGCGTTAATTATATTCCAAAACTTCAAGACCACCCTGCTTCGAACAGCAATTAAAGGCGGCATGTGAAAGGCTCATAAGTAGATTGGAAAGCACAATTTTCCTCACTTCGCATCTGCCTCCGAATACCGAACATTTTTTTACGAGGACATTGCTAAATGGACTATTTTAAAGATCGCTGAGAGTTTCTCATTTTTCTGCGTGCATAAGACAGAAATTCGAATTATTAAATGGGTATTATTCGCTGGTAGGAACAAAACTAATTAAAATGGATCGTAACTCGTTGAGAAATTTTCGTGTGGTTTGTCGGTGCTGTTTAAAAACTGAGATCGCTGAGAGTTGAGAATTGAGATCGCTGAGAGTTTCTCATTTTTCTTCGTGCATAAAACAGAAATTCGAATCATTAAAGGGCTGTTATTCGCTGGTAGGAACAAAACTAATTAAAATGGATCGTAACTCATTGGGAATTTTCCGTGTGGTTTGTCGGTGCTGTGTACCCTCCGACCAATCGGAGCATTTGCAGCGTTGTCTAGTTTCCTGGTGCGTTGTTGTGCGGTCTGCCCAATGAAACCCCGTGTTTTCTTATATTACATGAGAAGTATTTAAACGAGACCGCAAACCAACACCTTAGTTTTGTGTAGCCGTTCAAAGAATACTGTGTACAATCAGGGTTTTAAGGATCTGACTCAAATGTAAGCGTTCTTGATTTTTTCCAAGGGCTCCCAGCGTGAGGATCTCCCGGCGGATAAAAGTTCCCTCAGATAGCATCTCGGAGAGCACAGGGGTATTGAATCTTCCTAACACGCCAAACGGTCAAGCAAGCGGAGAAATCACGCCGAATTCGGCAGCCTCCGAATTAAAGAGGTTTGAGACTTCAGTTTTCCCCAGCCCTCCTCCGGACGAGAGTGTTACGTCATTCGATATGACTGACACTGGTTCGCCGTCGACAGTCAATCACGTGGGACACCATGACGTCAGCCCTCCTAATGAGGTAAGGCTAGTGACTGGTAGCTTCTTGTACCGCTCTACGGTCAGTTTGTTGGCGAAAAGAGCTGTTGAAATGGTGTCTTTTTTTTTTGGCTTGATGAGATTTGTCTGTTAGGTCGATAACATACAGGCTTTATCAAGGACTAATCAGAATATTAGTGTAGCATCAAGACAAATTAGACCTTCGTAAGCCAGTCAGACCATGATTACCATTGGCGATCGATGAGATTATGGCAGTGACCAAAATTTTCACATGAATGGAACTGTAAATTTTTGCTGTTTACGTCGCACATTTTCACAGTTCCTTTCTAAGTGTTGTGGTTCAGGACCTCTGTCGAAGAGTTGTTGGCTTAACATACAACGTGTTTTAAGTATATCAGCTTATATCAGTCCTCGGAGACCCCGCAGGGGCAGCCAGTCGGGACGATGCGATATTTTCGACCGACGCGAAATTTTGGGGCTGACGTTTATATCAAGAGCAGGAGAGCCCCTGGGCACTTGCTTACCGAACCAGTTCTAGACTGCTGGCAGTCTGTTTTTCTCTGGAAATTCAGTAGGGGTAAGGGGGCGAGACGTTTTGGCCAAAGGGGAATGGGACGAGACATGGGCGCGGCACGCACGAGAAGAAAAACTTCTCGTCTCGCCTTCTTCCCTACTCGGCCACACCGCCCTTGTCCCGCCTTCTTCCCCACTCGCCCACCGCCATACTGCCCTTTTCCGCTCGCGATAACTAAACACTCGTCCTAGTGACCCTGAGAGAAAAAACCGGCTGGCAGCAGACTAAACCAGTTCCAGAAGCGTTTGAATTACTTCTCGCTGATTGACCAGAAATATATATTTCTGGCCAATCAGATCAGGAGGTCTCTGGTCGCCTTCTTACACAAAGTGGTTTTCCTCATCGATCGTCGTTGTTGCTGAAAAACAGTCCAGCCCCGCCATTCCACCCCTAGTCTTGAAGATCTGAAATCCGGGCTGGTTTCATAGCCCAACAGTGGTTCACTTGCTATCTCTCGAATCTAAAAGCTTTTATTCCGTTATTAAAACGAGTTTTAAGCGACAAAACATTCTGTTTACCGTGAGACTTTTTTTACAGGTTGTCACGAAGCGACCTCCGCCAAGTCACGTGGAAGTGGAAAACTATGGTTTCAAAATGTTTATTTTTATCATGTTTATTCTAGCTTTGATAATGATTCCCATTGCCATCGTGTGGGAAACAAGAAAGACTTACATCAAGTCTACAGACGCCTACAAGGGACTTGCCAAATGGGTGTTTAGATCTTTTGGCTACAAAATCTAACGGGTAACTCAGTGCTGGGGAATTTTTAATTAGTTGTAGAAGTACAGTACTAGCGATTCATCGTCAATTGTTGACTTTGAAAATTAATTCTTACTACGTAGTCGACAAGCTGTCGTTTTTGACCTTTCTGTTAGAACTTTTTTTTTGGTTTTATTTGTCAATGAACCAGTTTTCTTTTAGCTTCATTAAATAGCTAACTCCATACGCGCAATCGAACGATGGAAGAACGTGCAGTGAGCCGTGTGGGTATTTTGAAGTTAAAAAGGAAACATTCTGTAATTTCAGCAACTTGAAATTTGGTGTTATCGAGCGAGCTACGAAATAAAAAACAAACTGAATGTATATCAGAGAATTCGAGATATTTGTTTGAAAGACCAGGAGGTAGACTTTCTTGGCGTGAACCTTCTTCTTAGAAGGAATGGGTGGTTCTAATTCTTGATGATTGCAGACGCTTGGAGTTTTAGACTTCGTCTTTTAATACCACTTTTGGAAATACAATATGACAACTTCTCATTCCATTTTGAAGCAGACTGATCACATGATCTGAAGTAGTCGTACATTTCCGTTACAGAGTTCTGAACAAATCATCTTTCGCAGCTCTTCTCAGGGTAGTCAGGCTCAGGCGTCACGCAACGTTTCTCTCTTTGCAACAAGAAGCATCTCTAATCATCGGCAAATTTATTTTTCACGTATTTGCTAACGCGTCGGGCGTGTAAGTACTGTTGAACGGCGAAAATGAAGAAAGACTTGTCCTTTTCGTTTTGTCAAGTTCCACTGCACAAAAGCAAAAACAGCTGGGAACAATCAAACTCAGATAGTCGATGTTGCTTATCAACGTCGCTGATAGCGAGACGACAGTCGCGGACTCGTACAGTTGTCCTGACATAAAACAGAACAGTACTTGTACGTGCGGCTGAATATTGTTCTAAATTAATTTTTAATTCACTCTCATGTGGTAGTGTCGCTAGTTTAAGATAATTGCACCTCAGTAAAGAAGTTTCAAATATTTTGTAGTAAAGCGATGAGGGTGAAACGTTAATTGTAAAATAAGTGGACCGTAGGTATATAATTGTTTCGTAGGCGTCACACGTTTTCCAATTTTTGTTTCAATATTTACACTTAGCGATGTTCATTTTCTTAGTAAGATAATTTTTGCTACATTTTTCTGAAGTCGGAAGAAGAAATGAGTTCGTGGCAAATCCTCATAGCATTTCACAGATCCATTCAAGTAACACTCGTGTTTAGCTTTGTTCTTTGCCATTAATGGTTTATAGCTTGCAGAGAGGTCAAACGCTTCAAGAGAGATTTGCCTTTTTCTCATTTAAGTGTGGTGTGTCTTTATCGTTTGCGTAGCAACGTGTAACGTATTAGCACTGGTGTATTAATAGGGTTAATTAAAATAATGCTTCCTGGGGAGTTGTTTTCGCGAACCACTCCTAAACAGCTGAAAAGCGTGTTTTTGTGAGATGGGTTCCATCACTAAGGGCATTCCGTCTTTGTATCAGGATAGGATTTCAAGTTGTATACGACCTACTTTTAAACTGTAAAAGCATGGCCAAGGTTGACAATAAAACTCCTTTGTACAGGTCACACTTCGTGTAAAATTCTTCTCGTTTGAACCCCTGCCGGGAGGGGTGGACTCCCATATAAAAAGGAAGGGCGAGCACGTCGTAGCTTTCAGGGGTTAAAATGGCGGTTTTGGTACCTTGTAGGGGTAAAACAATTTCAAGCCACGCCCAAAAACAGGATCTTGATCCCTCTTAGGGGTTCTTTTAGCCTGCGTAGCAAGCGTCTCCGTGGGGTTGGAAGCAAAGAAAGACCGAGGAACGGGATTTTCGGTGTTTTGTCTGCGCGGAAAATGGGGCGAGAGCCCAAAAAAAGAAAGAGGGGGTTGGGAGAGGGGAAGGAAGGAAACCCTCCCCTCCCCCTCCCCCCTCTTTCACTCGCTCCATTTTTCGCGCTGTAATTCTTTGCTCCCGAACCCCACAGAAACGCTCGCTACGCAGGCTAGGGTTCTTTTCAAAATTTCCGACGAGCACCCACGTCTTTTTTTTATATATGGGACTCCTCCTCGGCGTTTGAACCCAACCGTTTGGCATCAGTTCCAAAAATTGCTTTATACTCGAGAAAACGCAAGTAGCCTTTGTAAGTTCTTGAAGTTGTCCGTAATCATCAGAGGCGGAAAAAGTGATTTTTAGTCTGAAAAGTGATTGTAATTCCTGAAGTTGCGTGGGCTGCATTGTAAAACGGCCATCAAAGCTTTGTTTACGTCAGTGTTTGTCAGACGTCTAATCTTCCACATCAACGGGAGAGGGATTGAATTTCTGCAACCTGCGGGCAAATATCAGTGATATTCATCTGTCTGGTACCACATGTCGTGCGATATCACTTTACTGAATCACGTAACTGTAATAAGAAAAATAAATTTATGAAAATCAGGTGTACTTGATAAAAGAAAATAAACAATGTATCATCAAAAGGTGAGCTGTCTCGGCATGTTTCTGCGCCAGTTCATTTGGAGAATTTGACTTTTAACTGAAATTATCAGCAAGACCGTAACTAGTAACAAGCGAACCAAGGCACTTGCCTCGGTAAAACGTTTAAATTTATTTAATTTCGCGTAAGAGGCTATGTAAGCTTATTAAAAAAAAATAAAAGTAAAAGAAGCTTTTTGTGGTAGTTACTTGGTAAGAATTTTAGTCTGGCTTCGGCCGTGATCAATTCTGAGCAAGAAGTTCATTCTTTTGACATTTTTTCGTCGGACCATAACAAACCGGCAAATGATGTGGACAAGGCCCCTCCTTGTATTGACCGACAAAGCTGTTCAGCGGTTTTAGCCCTGAAAAGGCGCGGTATGACAGGGTCGGGGAGTCCTGGGATCCAAGGAGCTGCACAGCTGTTGAGAACGCTGACAAGGGTCCTGAGAGGGTTTCTTCCTCGGGTAAGGCTTAGTAGAATTTTTTCCTTGATATAAGTATTATTCCGAATTTTTTTTGCAGTAGAGAAAAATATAAAAAATGGGATGCAACGGAGTGCAAAGTGTCTCATATCTATCGCAAAGTGCAAGGATCGAAGAGTTAGCTTATTAACCAATTTCCTATTTTTATCATCCAATTGCAATGAGTCATTCTGGCCATCCGTTCAAGTTGTGTATATTTATTTGTCGGCAGACACTTCGCGATTGATGTGTAAATGAACTAATGCACTGGATTTTGGGTCGTCCATTTACAGATTTCTTCTCAGGTAATCTTAACACTTTGAGTTAAGCTAGATATGGCTAAGATCTTTGAACGAGCTAGCTTTAATTGACCTAAGAATAAGCCTATGTTGAGATTTTGATGCAGCAGCGAATAACTAAATTGGATGTCAGAAAAAGGACAACCCGGTGATTACTTTTTAAGTTCAATTTAGAGATGCAGCGATCCTGATAAGCAAACAATGACTTTATTTTATCAGCAGTTTCAAAAGCGAAGTAGAATTTGCTGCGGATTAAAACGTTTTGAATGAAAAGTAGTGTTGTGGTTCACCATATTATGCNTTATTCTAGTAAATGTTTCACTAAATTTTTAAATTTGCATTATAATTAATAAATAAATGTAAGGTTTGGCATCTAAATCACCAGTCTGCAAATCCAAAAGTACAACAAACCCAGCTAGAGATTTAAACATGGGATTTCTGATTTTCAACTTCGGCATCCATTGTTCTCCCTCTCCTGTTGCTGACAATGTTGAATCAACGCGTGCACACTATAATGATAGATTGCTCTGCACTTGCCTATCAGAGAAGTAATATGTACATGTATATGTAGTAATATGCTAACAACTGGGGAAAGCTGTTAATGGTAACGAAGATTACAGAAGGCAAGTACAGAACTTGCTAAATGTATTGAAACAGTGGTAACGTTCAAACTGAATTCTACCTTTATTTGCTCTAGGTGGAGCAAGCGATCTGAATCTGGGGTGCTTGCTTGTTCAGCTCTCAAGGAACAGTATAGGCAAACAATTATCCTTGGAGCAGAATCAAGCTCTGAAATAAAGCAACAGTACTGCTCCATTGGAGACAAGAGACAAAAGCTCTCAAGGCCTTTACCTTTTTACTGCCTTGTCGTCCTACTTCAAGGCTCTAAAGACCTGATAAAGGAGAGAATGGAAAAGCGTCAAGAACATTTTATGCCTACAAATTTGCTGGATTCACAGTTTGAAACTCTAGAGGAACCAAAGAACTGTGATTTGTACTCGGCAGTTAATATCTCAGTGGACCAAACTGTTGAGGAAATTACAAATGAAATTTTACGGGCCTTGAAAGCCAAATGTGGTGTAAGGGTATCAATACATAGCACGGTATAGGGAAAATAAATTTTTACTTTTATAAGAAAAGATTGGCTTTGCTCACGCAAGGGAAAGAGCAGGAGGTCAGCAAGGTTACAAAACTTTGACAAGTGTAGTTACATCGCTTGAATGTATTTTTTCACTGGAGTCAATTCAAAATTTTTGCACTTCTAGTAATTCCAAGGCAGCTGTAGTAAAATAGCTTGATCTCTTCTCATAAGTATTGGAAGACCTTTTTACTCCTTCAAAGACACATGGGCTGTTTGAGAAGATGGAATATACTGTGAAAAAGTTTGGAAGTCCAGGTATGGGGTCATTATTCTTGTCTCTTGTGCCTGGACTTGGCCTCACAAAGCCAAATTGTTTCCTAGTTCCATTTAAGCCTCTGTGGAGGAGGGACGTTGCAAGAAGAGCTGTTGATAAAGACATTGACCCAAATTCAGGTAACTGAATGTAGCTCAACCCACTATGTTTCTGGATTGAGTGTCTTGACAAAAAAAAACTCTGGATTTATAGGTAATCACATGATTTCAATAGCAATTAGAAAGAAACAAGTAAGAGTGAATTTTTTTCAAAGGCTAACAGTAAGCTGAGTGCAATTTGGTAGTCTGAAAAATTTACACTTATTAATAATACACTTTAAGATAGAATATTTAAGGTCTTTGCCATACATTGTGTATGTAGGCAGGCTGCCGTACCCTTGATCTTCCAAATATCTTCAACAATGTCTGAAGCTTTTGGCAAACTTCTGATAATATGTTGGAAAATTTTTGGATAATTACACCAATAAGTACTTTGACTAATCTGTTCTTAACTCTTTCAATTTTTTAAACTGTAGTGGAAAGATGTTAAAGTAGAACCAAAATAATTATTGAAACAGAATGATGGTAGTCAAGCAGATTTTTTTGTATTGGAATAATATTATAAATCACTTACAATTACCTTGCAAAAGTGCAATTTTATATGACAAGTAGTTTCTGAAACATTCAGCTTCAATCCAATATTATTTTTTTAGAGCTCCAATCTTATTAAATAATAAATTTTTATTATCTCATGTAAATTGTAGAACCTTTTTTGAAAGAGATTAGGCACATGTAGGGGTAAAATATAGTGAAAATAACTTAACTTTTGAAAAAGGACAAAATGTTAAAATCAGATTTTTGAGATGAATTGCTGTTTAGTGATTAAGAAGTGCCCACTCCCCACTGAGTACCCATGATTTATTTGAGAACTGCCCCTTCCTCCCCGGGGGAGACTCCCATATAAGAAGGGCAGGGGTACTCATCATACCTTTTAGGAGTTCTAAAAGAAGATTTGGTAGCTCTTAGGGTGTTCAGCCTCTAAAGGTCCACAGCAAGAGCTTTTGCAGTACCTTTTAGGGTGCCGAGCCAAAGAAAGTCAGTGCCAGTTTATGTGTTGTTTAAGAATTGGTACCTCTAAAGGGTAAAAAAAAATTCCAAGCCATGCCCACAAAATGGGATCTTGATAGCTCTTAGGGACTTTTTTCAAAATTTCCGACAAGCAATCCTGTCCTTTTTATATGGGGTTCCCCCCACCCCAGTCTACTCCCTTCCAATCTTCCAAGGAGTGTTCATTGTGAAGGTGAAATTCAAGGTAATTGACAAAGAATAGTTTGACTGATTAGAGGAGTGAGTTATGTAGTCTACATTCTTGACAGAATGTGATATGGAACATAAATTGGGAAAAAATTAAACATTCAAATTCTGTCATGGCTGCGAGAGCCCCTACTTCGACAGTTTTTGAATTGAAGTAATCTGTTGTTTTTCATTGAAGCGCCATATCACATTCTGATATTTATGTCCAAAAAGAAATGAGCACCCTGCCACTCAAGTGCCCTCCCTTGAACTTAACCAAAAGTAAATAAATACCACAAGGGCTAAATTTAATCAATATTCAGGACATGGACCAGAACCAGTATTATTTTCGCTTCTGGCTCAACCTTACTCGATAAAAATGTGAAGAAATCTTGAACAATTGTGCCCCATCAAATGAACTCAGACTTGCTCAGGTCAACCCATCTGTTGTTTTCTTCTAATATTTATATGGTTATATGAGTGGCACCATAATACCATGCTTAATATTATAGTCTGAACATTATGTAATTATATGTGTTCTCAAATTTCTTGATAGGCTCTAGTAAAATTAAGGATTAGAAGTGATATAATTTGATAATTCTCTCAAAATTGCATGAGCCATAAGCTAGGCGAGTGCAAATTTGCAAGTGCAATTACAAGATTAAAGATAAATCTGCCTTCTCTCAGCCAATCAGAATGGAGTAACTTCTCAGTCATGTAATAATTTAATTCTCTGTAATACGTATACTTACACTTCTAGCGTACCGTAAAGTAATAAAAATTATAAGCTTTTTGCTTACTGTTGATTTTTTTCTTGGGTGTTGTAGCTGCTTGTTTTTTGGGGGTTCATTGGGGGATTGAGGTGCAGGATAAAACAGTTGGAAGTGACGACAGTCAAAACTGGTCCAGTATTCCTGTCAGTGATGAAGAACTAAATTTTGATTTCATTGTTTGTTTCATTTGTTTCAAAAGAACATTCAATGTTCATTCTAAATGTGGGATACTGAACAGAAAAAAAAAAATCAAATATGCATTACTTTGCTTTGGGATGAAGGCTTGGCCAGTTTTGATTGAATGCTGTGTTTTGCAATTGA